GATGGCCATTAATGGTGGTTTAATGGCTCATTAATGATAATGTAAGTTGTTGGGATATAGTAAACCCATTGGGTATGATTGGGAGTAGGTTTATGATGTTGATAAAATGAGAATATGGAATTAGATGTTAGGAAAATTACTTAAAGAAGGATATTAATGAATGTCTTTGTGATTAGTTGTGGATTGTTTAATTTTGGTACCATTCAAAATACTTTGCAAGCTTGTGACTTGAGAGGTAAATTTTTGACATCTTAAAGGTTTGAGGTAATCAAAGAAAATCTTATTTGCATAGTTGTATGTTAATTATTTGTAAGTGATTTAAATCATTTGAGAATTATTTGAATGCTTGTGAACCCTTTGATGCAAACTTGGCAATGTATGAAATTGTTTTGACTTGCAGAAAACAATGTGCATATTTCTATTCATGTAATTGATAAAGAATGCGTGACCTTTGGCATAAGGAGAATAATGGATAAAGTAAATAGTATGGATGTGATATAATGTCAGTAATGGTGTTAACATGACATAATATGTGTCCATATGTATATAGCATGATCATTGGCGAGAGTTTCACCTGGGTAGAGGAGTAGATTGGTAAATTTATGTGGTACTAATGGCTTACTATTGGAATCAAAAACTTGCCTTGGCACCGATTGTTGAATTCGGAGGTAACTTTTGTTTGATGGATGATTTGGGGCAGTCCCACTTAGTTTTTAAAGGACTTAAACCTAACTATCTCCACCAGTTCATGAAGAGGCTAGATTAGGGATACAACATCCTATGGTTATTAGTATTAGAAATAACTGCGAAGCATGCGAGAATGAGTTTACCCTAGCTCGGTAGCTCCTTCCAAGTGGAAGGTTGGATTAGTCAAAATTGTGGACATAGCCATTTAATAGCCACCGGTTTTATGTAAGAGGTATCAACAGGGCATAAGGTTAGCATTGATTATGCATTTATAGTTTCAGCCATATGATTATTATTGTTATGCTTCGGTATGTGTTTTAGGGGCACATGGTTATTATTTTTTTGACCCTAAGATGTTTATAATTGTGATATATCAAATGATATGTGTTTCATGCTTGGTTACATGATTGTTATTGTTGTGGTCGAGGCTATATTTAATATATGCGTATATGAGTTTTGAATTCATTGCCATTTACATCCAAGTTAATTGATATGCAACTGTATAAACTCGATTGATCTTGGTTACTGAGTAGTCATACTTGGTTCTCATTATTTAATAGTTTAAGGCCTAGCTTATCAGATTAGGGTCAAGGAAAATGATTAAAGGTATAGGATTTTGAGTGAATCATACTTGTAGGCCTCTTAGTTTTAAATTATATGTATTAAACATTGTTAATTTGCCAACTAGAATTTCATTCTATTATTTTTGTCTACTTACATTATAATTATAATTGAAAGTATTTCATGTATTTCGTGCCCTAAGCTAGTGATGTATGATTGCAAAGCTTAAATAGGGTTAAAATACTAGTACAAATGGGGTAGATTGTAATTGGGTTGTTTTTGGTTGAATATTAGTGATTTTATGCAAGTTATCTCCCCCTTCTTATTTTTTGTAAATCAAGGGGTTGAGTGGTGAATTTGTGTAATATGGGTAATTGATTGACTGTGGTGTGTTGCAAGAGTCCAAATTGGTCCATTAAGTGTGGTCTAAAGGTTGGTGCATGTATTATCTCCCTCACTAATACCTGATTAACTCAAATCTCAAGTAATTAAGGGATTATCTCAAAGTAACAACAACAAATTTGTCAAGTTATACAATGAGATCTCAAGTTTTCAATGTTTAAAATACTTCCATACACTTTCAATATTTCAAATCAGAATTTAAAACATGTATGGAAGCTTAGGAATCGAAGAAAGAATAAAAACATTTACATATAATATCAAAATAATGAATTGTGCAAAAAACATCACATGCGTTACGGCTTGTTGCAAATGCACCGTAGCATGCATGTTTTTGTGCCATGAGTCGTGGTACATTGTACAAATTTGACAACAAATTTTGCTGTTATTTGATAGCATTTGGGACGAATTTCTAACGCATCCAATTTCTCTGTTTGATGTTCGATTGAAGTGATTTAGGTGTCTATAGAGAGTTTTCTTCTAACTCTAGCTAGTGGCGCAAGTTTCACAACCCAATTTTTTTTATCAAAAGTTAGACACCTAATACTAATCTCACTTATTTTTTACATTATTTCACAACTAAGGTGTCCAAACCCCCACTCATGTGCCAAAAGTTTACACCAACTCTTAGATCAATTTAACAAACCATTTACGACTCGTGCAATACATACAACCATTCCAATATACAATTACCATAAATTCAACTCTCAACCCCTCAACTCATAAAAACACAAGGGGGCATTTTGTATAAAATCATACATATTCATATGAAGCAACCAAAATACACTTTACTCTACTTGCACTAGTATTTTAGCTTTATACAAGCTTTACAACCATACTATTATAAGCTCAAAGCACGAAATACACATAGTGTTTTCATTTATAATGCAAGTAGTTCAAAATAATAATATGAGTCATTGTGGCAAATTAACCATCAAAATATACATGAAAAAAAGCTAAAAGGCCTATAAATATGATTTACTCAAAATCTTATGTCTCTAATCATTTTCTCTGATCCTGATCTGATGAACTAGGCCTTGAAAATATTGAAGAATAAAGGGTGAGCACAACCACTCAGTAATTAAGGTCAACCTAGCCTATACAGTTACATATCAATTAAAAATGGATGTAAATGGAAATAAACATGAATATCATCCACATAAAGCAAATATAGCATCGACCATAATAATAACAACCATATGACCGAGCATGCAATTCACATAATCAGATATTACAATTATGCGCATCTTGGGGTCACAAAAATAACAATCGTGAGTCCTTAAAACACACCAGAACACAATAATAACAATTATATAGCTAGAACTAAATGCATAATCAATGTCAATCTTATACATCGTTGATACCTCTAACATGAAACTGGCAGCTATTAAGTAGCTATGTCCACACTCGAACTAACCTAGCCTTATACTCATAAGGAGCTACCAGACCAGAATTAACTCACTCACTTATGTATCATGTTTTTCCCCAATACTAACAATCATGGGATGTCATACTCCTAATCTAGTCTCCTCATGAATTGATAGAGATTAGTTAGGTTTGAGTCCCTTGAAGAACAAATGGGACATTCTCGAATTAACTATGAGATAGTGACTATCTCTTGATTCTAACGATTGATGTTAAGGCAAGCTTTTGATTTCAATAATAAGCCACCAATATCACATAAATTTACCAATCTAATCCTTTCCTAAGCGAACTCTCACTAATAATCATGCTATACATATATTACACTTAATGTTATTTTAGCACAATTAATCACATCACATCATATTCACAAATTCCTTTCTCCATTATACTCCACATGCCAATTATCACATATATATCATTTTTATAATGAAATGCTCTCAATCATCATCATTAATTACATATGTATAAACATGCATATTGATATTCCAAACAACTCTGCACAATGTCTCACACACAATAAATACATTCTCAAAACTTGCATCAAAGAGTTTTCAAACACCCAATAAGTTCTAAACAATCTCATTTAATAAATAATTAATTAACATATAGCTATACAAACTAAATTTCCCCCAATTGCCTCAAACCTTTGAGAGATCAAAAGTTTACCTCTCAAAATACTAACTTTTAAAGCTTCTTCTCAAGCTTGAATGGTGCAGCTTAGGTTAATCTACAATAATATTACAAGGATAGCATCATTACCCTATTTTTGGGCAATTTCCAAGATTATAACTCCACATACTCTTTTTCATCAAAGTCATAAACTCACTACCTATTATATCTAATGGATTTACTAGGTCATAACAACTCACATTATCATTAATGAATTATTAAACCACCATTAATAGCCATTAAACACTCCCAACAACCTTATTTATTATCGTTTTTTAGGTGTTCATGGTCCCCAACTACTAATAACTTACAAAATCATTAATGTGGATTTTAAATATTCTAAACAACTCCCAGTATATTCATTTAATTAATGATTTTGGATCCATAACTCATATGGACTGAAAATCACTCTCCCAACTCAAATCTTAACTTAAACTTTTATAAAAATGGAAGGAAAGGGAAGAGGAAGACATAATGTACTTACCTATTACCTTGTGTGTTAGGAAGCTTCAAAATATCTCCAATAGTCCCCAAGTTTGTGCCCTAACAAAGCAATGAGTATGCTCTCATTTTCCCTTTCTCCCCTCTTCTGATTTTTGAATAGACACAAATTGATTTAAGCAGAATTTTGGTCATGCGTCGTGGCCCACGCAGTCTCCTGCCACCGTGCGTGGCACAAAGAGGCCTAGCTCACTTTGGATGCCTCCATGCTTCGCAACAGATGTTCCTTATACTGCGACATATGGCACAGAGAATCTTTTTTCTATTTGTTCTCACCTTTTAATACCTAGATGGCCCAACTTTATTTTGAACCTACATTTAGGTCAAAGTATGGAGAGAGAGTTTGATGAAGGTAGGAGTGAGGGAGTTTGATAAAAGGGCCACTTGTCAAATTGCGTGGGCCCATAACCTTAAGTTTAGATTTGATGGGGAGTAGTAGTTGATAATTTATTTTGTATCATTCCATAATTTAGGTATTCAATGATTTTCTTAAAAAAATTTGTGAACTAAATTTGCTTGTTTACTCTCTTTTAAATTATTTTTTGGAATACTAAAACACAAATGAATCTTTTTTTTTAATTGCTGGCCAAAAATATGTCTTTTTTTTTTTTACTGAATGGTGACAATTCCTCTTGCCCCAATGATTAGACTGTCCTGCCAACCTGGATTTGGGACGCCTCGTGGGGTCAATGGCGGGTGATGAAATGGTTCCACTGTCTATCTCTCTCTAACTCGATGACTATTTGCAACGAGTCAACTCTCTCTCTCTCTAGTTGATTTTTATTTTTCACCTATTTCAAAGAAAGCTTTCGCGATTGCTTCTTGTTCCGTTGGTCCTTTCTCGTTTCATCAGATGCAAGCCCTCAACCCCATCTCCCCGTCCTCCTCCAGTCTTCCAATCACCACTATTTAGTATTTACCATGGGACAGGAAGATATTTGTAGCGTGATCAACTTTCCTCCAGAATTCCATCGTGGTATTTGTGTTTAATCGTGAAATTAAAGTAGGGTTTTCCAAAGGACCCTCGCCGTTTCTTACAAGTTGGGGAAGGTACACTTCTTTGGAAGCTCAGTTTTGCTTTCAATATCAATACTAAAGTTTTCTTTCTTCTCCTCGTTCTCTGCTTCTTCTCGCGGTCAGTTTTACAGTTCCTCTGAGAGACTCTTCCTTTAACTCGTTGCTTTGGTCGGTCATCATCAGTTCAGTATATTTTTGACTTAGGCCGAGCTTCGTTTTGATTTAGTCTGAATTTCTTGCAATAGCACTCAGTTTTTAAGATAATTCTTCTGAAAAACAAGTAGGATCGATTTGTTTATAGCACTGGGAGGTTTCTAAATTACAGTCATAATTATTAACACTGAAGCATTCACTAATTTTTTATCATTTTTCATGGTCTCACTTCTCATTGAACTGGAAGAATCATGGCATTTAAATGGACTCTGACTTCATCCGTTTAACAATTCAATGATTTTTTTTAATTAGCTTTTGATATTAATTAATTATAAATTCCAATTTGGATGTTTGATGCTATTCTAATGAGCTCAAGATTGACATCTGTATTTTAAGCATCTCAATTAGGTGGGTCGTACTTTCAAATAATTTTTCTCAGCTACTGCATGATTTCATAGTATCAAAGTTTCTTCGTGATATTGATATCACTACCATGATGCTCATAAACTGTCACTAATTGTTAGTTCCACAAATCTCCCTATGTCGTCATCTTTGTTGTCATAGGCCGCTTGATATGATGGCTACAAGCTGGGATGGAAGTAATGACCCTGGCAGCCAGTCTGATGAGAGCTACCACTTTGAGAGGCTGCATATTGAGCCTATTTATGATGCCTTTGTATGTCCACTGACAAAGCAAGTTATGCGTGATCCTGTTACATTGGAAACTGGACAGACTTTTGAACGTGAAGCAATTGAAAAATGGTTCAAGGAATGCAAGGAGAGTGGGCGTAAACTAGTTTGCCCTTTGACTCTGAAAGAACTAAAAAGCATAGAACTAAATCCCAGTATTGCTTTGCGTAACACCATTGAAGAGTGGACTGCAAGGAATGAAGCAGCGCAGCTGGACATGGCTCGCAGGTCATTGAACATGGGTAGTCCTGAAAATGATACATTACAGGCTTTACATTATGTCCAACACATCTGCCAAAGAAGCCGGTCTAATAAGCATCTTGTCCGTAGTGCGGGGCTTATACCTATGATTGTTGACATGTTGAAGAGCAGCAGCCGTAAGGTTCGTTGTACGGCTTTGGGAACCCTTAGGATTGTCGTGGAAGAAGACAATGAGAATAAGGTTGTCACAGGTTTGCTGGTTATCTTTTCTTTTTTATTTATTGTTTGATATCATCAGTGTGATTAACTTTGAGGCTGCTTGGTAACGTCTTTTCTTTGCTCCAAAGGACTTGTTGGCTGAAGGGGATACTGTGCGCACAATAGTAAAATTCCTTTCTCATGAACTCTCTAAAGAAAGAGAGGAAGCTGTGTCTTTGCTTTATGAGCTCTCAAAATCAGAAACTTTGTGTGAGAAGATAGGTTCAATCAATGGGGCTATTCTAATATTAGTTGGAATGACAAGCAGCAAATCAGAAGATATCTTGACTGTTGAGAAGGCTGAAAAAACATTGGAGAATCTGGAAAAGTGTGAGAATAATGTGCGACAAATGGCTGAAAATGGTAGACTGCAGCCTCTTCTGACACAGCTCCTTGAAGGTGCTCATGTTCCCTAAGATTTTTTCTCAAATTATACCTGTCTTCTGTGGTCAACTTATGCACCGTTCTTTTTATTTTTCTGCTGAACCATCATGCATTATTTTAAAGACGCTGTGCTGGAGCTTTCTTTTCTTTATAAGAATTATTTTGATGGGCATGCGCATGAATGATTATCTCATAATGGGTATCATAATATGAATATGGTAACCTTTCTTTGTGAGAGGTGCATGTTGTGGAAGTCTCCTATTGAAGATTGATAAATATATTTTTTTCTTGTTATCACCCCCCCCCAAAAAAAAAACAAAGGGGAACTTTAGCCTGACTATATAATTTTGATATACAAACCTTAACATGACAGCATACATAACAGTTTACCCCCCTACACTATCATAACAGTAAAAACTTAATTTTTTAGTTAAAACTAGTATCTTAGAAATTGGGAGTTTGGGGAAATGCAGATAAGAAAATGGTGAGAGAAATTGGTAACGCAATCATGTAGCCTTTAGATGTCAGTTTTTACTAAAATGTAAGATTTCTTTTTTTTTTTTTTTAGAATAGCTTAGGAAAGTAAAGTATTATTACATTTTAAAGTTTATGTGTCAACATTATAATCAAGCTGTGGCCTATTTTACTGCTGAAAATGAATATTCCTGTTGTAAGATTTATGATAGTTAGCAACTTATCATTTATTTTTCTTATGGAGAATGTTTATTTCCAAACAGGAAATATTGTAGAATGTACATAATGACTAACATGTCTTGTGGAGGATATTCAAGTGTATTCCAGTTAGTTTTAATTGACTATTAGCTGTATCATCCTTAAATTTTAGAGAGTAAGATTTGTCAAGTGCCGGAATAATTCTATATTCCTCTGTTCAGCATCAATCGGTAATATGAGTTTCTTGTTGGAATGTTGCAGGTCCACCTGAAACCAAACTGGCCATGGCTGGATACCTTGGTGAGCTGGTCTTGAATAATGATGTAAAGGTCCTTGTAGCCAAAACCGTGGGTTCATCTCTGATCAATATAATGAAAAGTGGTAATATGCAGTCCAGGGAAGCTTCACTGAAAGCTCTTAATCAGATATCATCCTGTGACCCAAGTGCAAAGGTTTTGATAGAGGCTGGAATACTTTCACCTCTTGTCAATGACCTTTTTGCAGTGGGTCCTAATCAGCTTCCCATGCGACTAAAAGAAGTCTCTGCTACAATTCTTGCCAATGTTGTGAACTCAGGCGAGGACTTTGATTCCATCCCATTTGGACAGGATCACCAGACTCTCGTTTCAGAGGACATAGTTCATAATCTACTTCATCTTATAAGCAACACTGGTCCAGCTATTGAATGCAAGCTTCTCCAAGTCCTGGTTGGACTTACTGGTTCTCCAACTACCGTTCTGAGTGTTGTCACGGCAATCAAAAGCTCTGGTGCCATTATCAGTCTTGTTCAATTTATTGAGGCTCCACAGAAAGATTTACGTGTAGCATCTATAAAACTCCTTCAGAATTTGTCTCCCCTCATGGGCCAGGAATTAGCTGATGCATTACGTGGTTCAGTTGGACAACTGGGCAGTCTAATTAAAGTCATATCAGAAAATACAGGAATTAGTGAAGAGCAGGCAGCAGCTGTTGGCCTTCTAGCTGATCTGCCTGAGAGGGATTTGGGGCTCACAAGACAGATGCTAGATGAAGGTGCCTTTCAGCTGGTCTACTCTAGAGTGATTACCCTTAGGCAGGGAGAGATCAGAGGCAGTCGCTTTGTGACACCATTTCTTGAAGGGCTTGTGAAGATTCTTGCAAGGCTTACGTTTGTACTGGCTGATGAGCCTGATGCTATATCATTCTGCCGTGAGCATAATCTTGCTGCACTGTTTATTGAACTGCTTCAGGCCAATGGACTTGATAATGTACAGATGGTTTCTGCAATTGCTTTGGAGAATCTGTCCCAAGAATCAAAGAATTTAACAAAATTACCTGAGATGCCATCTCCTGGTTTTTGTGCCTCAATATTTCCATGCCTTAGCAAACAGCCTGTCATAACCGGATTGTGTAGGCTCCACCGAGGGTTATGTTCATTAAAAGAAACATTTTGTCTAATTGAAGGGCAGGCAGTACGTAAGTTAGTAGCCCTACTGGACCACACAAATGTGAATGTGGTTGAGGCAGCACTGGCAGCTTTATCTACCTTGTTAGACGATGGAGTTGATATTGAACAAGGGGTGATGGTGCTTTTTGAGGCAGAAGGAATTAAGCCTATACTTGATGTATTACTTGAGAAACGGACAGAAAATCTGAGGAGGAGGGCAGTTTGGGCAGTTGAGAGATTGTTGCGAACTGATGACATAGCCTATGAAGTTTCTGGTGATCAAAATGTGGGCACTGCACTTGTTGACGCTTTCCAGCATGGTGACTATCGAACTCGACAGATTGCTGAGCGTGCTCTCAAGCATGTAGACAAGATTCCAAACTTCTCAGGAATTTTTTCAAACATGGGATAGACACAGACCCCTTACAGTTCCCTATGCCTCTCACTTCAAAGATTTGTATGTAACTTTTACTTTTAATGTTGGGATAGGGTTGTCTTTAACACTGCACATGCAGTTGGAGAGAGAAAAATGAGGGGGAGTACCACTCAAGCGGGACTTGCCCTTTCTTCCTCTCTCACTTTCTCTTCAGTCTACCCCTCATCCTTCCACGACTGCACAAGGTATAGTTTGGGAGAGGATTTGTGCCTGAGCACTTTTCGAGTCTATTGTATTATTTGTTGTTATTATCACCGGCTTTGCCTCTAAATGCAATTGAAGTTGTCTTGCACGAATTACCCATTCTTTTAGAAGGTACCAAAAGATGTTTATTTGTTGTTACGTGTTTCTGTAGCTATTTTGAAATCGTTATATGTACTGCGACTGTAAGCATGTGGAAAAAGATTAAGGGTTTGTTACGCCATGCTCCTTCCCTTGCTGTTTTTTTTTTTTTTTTTGAATTGAATAAACAATGCATTACATACATATATACGTAAAAGTTGTGGTATTCATAAGTCAGATTATGAGACTCATTCCTTACATTTTGTATGATACATGGAGGATCCTGTTGTATGTGAGGGGCCATTACTTCTCTTGGAGGGTTTGACGTCGTGGAGGTATATTTGCTAAGCAGGACCGCCTGTGATATGATGGAACTAGAGAGGGAGTGAAAGTAGAGGTGGAAGAATACTTTAGCACGTTTGTTACATTAGAATCACAATTTCATGGAAGTCTACTTCCATCGATGGGAGGAACGAGTTTGATAACTTCTATCGAACTAGATGTAAAAAGACTGTTTTGCCTTTTTTTTTTTTTTTTTGTTGAATACATAGCATTAAAAGAAATACAAGCAAGCTTTTGTGCAATCAGTAAAAACTCAAACTTTATGGAAACCTTTGGCCCAGCATAGTTGGAAGCCATAGATGATTCCCAATAATTCTATTACAGCAATAGGAAAAGAGCAAGCACAAGCATTAAAACTTGTAACCTAGTTTATAGCATTATCTCATATTACCCCTCCACATTTTGCTATCCCATCTTTGATAGGTCTGTCAGCATCAAGGCAAACTTCGCTTGGCCTTGGTCTGGACCATTGTTTGATGGAAACTCTATTTATCCTTTCCAACTTGTAAGATATGCAGACAAAACTAAGGTGTGCTTTGGCTTTGTATAACTTGATCAAACCAGATTTTGTTATACTCACATCCTCAATAGAGAATGCAAGCTTACCGATCTCACACTAGATATCCCAACAGACATACCCAAAGAGCACATTCCAAGCTACCTACTCAGTGGAATCATTCCTGGCCTCTTTCTTCGAGTTCCATTCAATCCATTTAGCAGTGTTCAAAAGCTTAAATTGGTTCCAAAGTTGTTGCTTGACAAGCATTTTCCATCTAGACTATTGTGTCCATTTTCAACCCTACTTTAACTAAAGTTGGAATAAGAGTCGACTTTGGTGAGTCACCTGTTTAAGCTCATTCTTTTAAGGGTGAGTTTGAAAAAATTGCATTTTTTTAGGAAAATCAAGCTTTAAAGACTAGCCTTGATAAGTCTAAAAATAAGCTTGGGCTCCAGCATCCCTTTTAAATTCTTTTTCATTTTAACTATAAAAAATAAAATATTTTCATTTTTTAAAATTGAATTTAAACTTTAAAATACATGTCTATAATTTAAAATTAGATTTTCTATTATTTATTTTTAATTTTCTAATATTATAATTTGTATGAAATATTGTAATTGAAATTCTTAATTTTAAAAAAATTTAAAAAAAAAGATAAAGACTTATGGACTTGGCTATAAGTCTTTTGAATAAGATACGCTCTTTAAAAATTAGTTAATTTTTAAAAAATAAAATTTAAGAACTTGTGACCATAAGTGCTGAGCCCATATAAGTTGGACTTTCTGTTTTTCACCTCTAACTTCAACCTCTTTTCACAGCATCTCCATTTTGGAGCCTTACGTGACTATCATCATATTTTGCCTTAGTTGCCGTCATAGCGTCTTCCTTCGATATTGTACCTGGATTCGTGTTCTTTCAACAACATCCACTCCACCTTTTACCCAGGTATGGTGCAGCTTAGTTTGTCGTGTGACTCGTGTTTGTATTTGCCTTTTACGTTTCCATCCAGCTTTTACCGTTTTCATGAATTTCAAAGACACATTTGTGAGAAAGAAAATTCTTGTTTTTGCTAGACGTACGTTTGAAGGCAACAAGCGCAAAAAAACATACACATGCTTGATTTTAGGCCTCATTTAATATGATAAAAGAGTATTTGATAGAATTAAAATTGAAATTGAAATTAAAATTGGAATCGAAATAAGAATTAAAATTGAATTGAGTTTTAAAAGTGTGTTTGATATGAAAATAAAATCATGATATAATTTTAATAAGTATATGTATTTAAAATAAAAAAATTAAAATACCCTTTATTTTATTTTTTTAATGAAAAAATTAGCAATAAAAAATAAAAAATATACTTTTAAAACTCAAAATATCTTTTATTTTATTTTTTTAACGACTCATAAGCTAATTTTATATTGAGTTGGTGGATTCTATAATCTCTATAATAAAATTAAATTCCATCAATTTTGATGGAATTATATTCCTTCATAAAAGCAATTTCAATATATTAAATAAATCAACCGGATAATTTCATATATGATTTCATTTCTCTTCTCACAATTTTAGTATATAAAACATGGCCTTAATGTTTCTGACACTGTTGACGCCCACTTCTTTTACCGATGCCTTTGCCACCTTCAATTCAAAAGTCTCAACCTTCGCAACGACGACATCTAGACGTTAACTCCATCCTTTGCACATGCCTTCACCATATCAATGTTTTATTTTTTTTACGATCAAATCTTTTTGGTCTTCTTATTCTTTTCTTTTCTTTTCTTTTTCTGTTGTGGATACAGTTTCAAGGAAAATTAAATACATGCCTCTATTATTAAAAAATATAAAATATTTTTAACTGAATTTTATTCTTTAATAAAATAGTTATCTATTTTCAAACTAACTTTATCTTTTCATATTTACCTCTATTAAATACTCTACTTTAAAAATAAAGTTATTCATTAATAGAGACACTTTAAAAAAATAATAATAATTACACCTCAAAAGATTAAAAATGCTTTATATTTTTTAATATCCAATCTTTAAAAAATATTTTATATTTTTTAATGAAAAGAGCATGTCAAATAAAAAATAGAGTAAGACTTATGTCTTTAAACTTATATACTTAATATACTTATATCAAATTAAATCATAACACGTGGATATTAATGTATTAATTTAATAAAAAATTAATCTTTTAGTTTTTCAACTTTTAACTCACTTGTAACTCAATTCTTCAACTATGACTCGTTGTGACTCAATCCCTTAACTATAACTCACTGTAACTCAATCTCTCAACTTTTAATTCACTTATAATTCGATCCTTATTTGTCAAATTTTTTTAAAAAAATTCCTTATCAAATAAGAAGGATAAAAGAAATACTCATATATTATTCTAAAATACCCTCCTCTTACTTTATAATGTGAGATCTAAGCTAACATGAAAAAAGAAAATTAACAAAAGTTGAGAAACTAAATTATAAATAAGTCAAAAGTTAAAAACTAAATTATAGGTAAATTATAGTCGAGGGATTGAGTTACAAGTGAATTAAAAGTTAGAAAACTAAAAGATTAATTTTTCCTAATTTAATTAATGACAAAAATTTATTATAAAAAAAATAATCTATAAAAGATTCACAAATCTTTAATTTAATTAGATACAAGTACTTTAAATATATAAGTCAAGTATATAAGTTTTTTCACAAAAAATATACATGAATTTCATTAATTTACTAAAATTATTAAAGTTCATCCTTTCACTTTAAGTCTACCATCTACTTTACACTGGCACCTCACTTCTACGTTAAGGTTTAACAAACCATTAAAGTTTACAACTAAACATTCACAACGAGAAATCTCATTTCATTAACTACCATGGTGGCGGTTCATCAAATATAACAAATGTACATATACATACATACATCATCCGTTGTCATTTCACCCATAAACTTCCGGAAATTATGAGCAAATCAAGTTTATACCCCTCATATGGATAAATTTTCTCAAAACATTAATCCGTATATTCAAGATTATTCAGAGTAAACAAGACAGAGATAAGGGCATGCAGAATGGCAAAAAATCGACCACAATAACTATTCCCAGAACAGGAAAAATAAAAGTGGGGCAAGAACGCATCATTATGACTGGTGCTGTGTAAACGAATTTAAAAGAGAAAGTACACGAGCGACACTGAAACCGAGACCTTACTGAAGAGCTGAACGTATACAATTTCATGCAGAGAATAAAAAAAGTAGGAGCAACTGATTATATCGGATCCTAAAACATCTGAGGGGAAGAAATAATGTCGCATAAGTCAATAAATGACTTCAAAGATGTAGAACTGCCAATGATTTGGTCAAGCATGAAGAAGCATCCAGCTCATGAGTAACATGATTCCTCGAAATATGGCTCCAGTTTGCCGTATCAGACACATCGCATACAGTGAAGAAATCTAACACCTGACCAAATATTTTAAACATTTCAACCCCAAAAATCAGGTTTTTGCTGCCCAAAAAAACTGCATTCCAGTCCATTGGGGCATCTGGATGCACTGAGATTTCCGTCCAGGTGAGATACATGAGATCTAATTCCCATAATTTTCTAACAGCCTTGTTTCGCCGGCCAATTTGACCATCCCCTTCACACCAGGACACAGAGAGCACAAAAAGCCTGCCATTACATGATACAAGCTTAGGGTAGTATTCATGTACCCGAGGTGGGAATGGAGCAGCTTGAATTGCAATCCAGAAACCACGTTCTATGTTATATGCTGCAAGCTTGTCAGTCTCAGAATAGACATAAAACATTCCCCCACAAACAACTCCAGAACAAGCAACACCAAAATCTGAAGGCAATCCCTGGATTTCAGTCCATTTATTTGACCCGGAATCATATATTTCTCCAGAATCCAAAGGCTCATCCCAAGATCCCAGACCTCCTACAGCTATCAATACAAATCTTTTACTGCCTTTTGAACTTGAATGATCATTTCTCTGTCTAATGACCTTGTATGATTTTTGACTTGAGATAGACAAAGCATCATTCTCATTGACAGCAGCTCTGCACTGACGCCTCATTGAAAGCTTATGAGGATCCTCATAGACGTCTGAAACCCCACCAATCCTGGGTCTTGGAATACGTCTATCCTGCCAACTTTGATGAACATGACTGGTTGAAAAATCTAAACTGACCTCAGACACTCCTAGTATAGGAATTGATCTAGCATATTTCATTGATGATATTTTACGCCATGATCTTGTCAAGGGACTAAACATCACTACCCCTTTGTGTGTCTTAAATGAGCTCCTATCCACCTTCCCAAAGTTAGTCAAACTTGAACATCCTCCAACAACGAATATATCATCCAGTATACTGGCAACAGAAAACATGAACCTTCCCTTGAGAAGATCAGCATCTATCTTGTGCCACTGATTTAGAGACACATCCAATGCATGTATCTCGCCAGAGCAAAGGCCATCTTTAACCGCACCAAAAAGAAATAACCATGGATTTTGGTATGAACCCTCCCGTCTCATCTGAAGGAATCTAGGAGTGGTAGTCAAGGATCTCCATTTCTTGCACACGAGGCGAGCATTCATGAGACTCATCAATGGAAGCCGGACCAAGCACATTTCAAGAATGTCATCTGGAAGAAAGATATGCATTCTACTATTACTGACAGATTCCTCAAGTCCAGAATTCTTTCTGTTGTGTTTCCTCCAAAACTTCTCCTTCACCCCATATGAGAAGCAGTCCACATTCGTTTCTTCAGGACCACAAATTGGTTTGTATCCCTTTCCTTCTTCACTGGCACTAGACCTCCTTCTACTGTTTGAATCCCCAAATTCGTCACTAGTATCAGCACCTACCTTGCAGCCCCCACCTCGACTATACAAGGTAAGGCATCTTAAAGAGATTCCCTTTCCAGTATCATCTTCTTCCCCTCCCCCTTTGTTATTTTTTTTCCTCAACTTCTGGCTGACACTCCTCACAAGACGCTTTGAAATGCTCAAACTCTCAACATCTTGACAAAGAGATTCATCAACTGGCAATCTCTCAGAAAACATTATGCTCACTGATTAGGCACCAGCAAATGCGTCACTCCCATCATTACGTGTTACTTTTCATTTAGATTTTTGCCCAAGCTCAACTTCTATGACTAATCAAAAGATAGAAAACAGCAAGTTAGACGGGAGAAGCGTCGAAAGAGTAGAAACATAAACATGAAGCAAATTCCCAAAAATGGGAGCAATTTACATTTCTTTTGAACCCATTGTGGTGATAGAATATACTGAGGTTATAACAAATTAACGATCCAAAGATCACACAGATTCCCTCAACAATTCATCGGGGAGCGTAAAAACATCTTTCAAAATTCCATTAACATGATTTTGAAAAGGAAAAGAAAATAAAATAACTCGGTCACGATTCAAATAAAGCAGAATCTTTCTATAATGACAATCGACAAAAGACGGTGGCTGATAAAGCTTTTAATCCAGGGCGAAGAAATTCAGAGGCTGGCGGTAGAAACCTCAGAACAGTCATACAAATCCCCAAATCAAAGGAAAATTTACTAATTTATGCCTCGCACGAAAATAGAGTCACTGGATTAAATGGTCGGTTAAGAAATGCATGTACAAGTGCTCAATATCGCGCTGAACTCGCAATCACGTCCTTCACTCCTCTCCTCCTGAGACTCAAAATAAAAGCCACGGAGGGGAAAAACTTACATTGCACTGAGGAATCGAGGAGCGGTACTCGAAAAATCAAGGTCGATTGAATCCGAGACGACAAAAACAAAGGAGAGATCGTTGATAAACAAACCTATAGCATTCCTTGGCTTAAAATCTATGCTAATCAACAACGATTTGAGGTCTGGTTGGTCGGGGCTGGAATTTAGTAAAGCCACTCAAAGCACTGATTAAAAAGCGGCCCATCAGCTCCCGGCTTCAACTCCTTCCTGCCCCTTTTGGCCCCTGGCCCCTCCCAAGTCCTCATGCCTGTCATTTTATGTTTAATTTTTTAAAAAATTTATTATTTTTTTTTTTTACTCCTTATGTAATTAGTTTTTTCCGACTAGTCTATCTAATTAGTGGTAGGGCAGCAGGTTAGACCAGGAAGTAGGAGGATTAAAGTATAAATCCATCTTCAAAATTTGTTTAAATACAGATTTTGTATCTTAAAGTATTCAACGGTATAATTTTATCTTAACATTTTTTAAAACAACACAAATCTATTTTATTGTGATAAAAATATTCAGTTGACCATTAATCTAAGCTTTTTGACCATTGAACCTTAAATATGGTAGTCCACATCACTTGCCACATCAGTTTTTCTTCCTCATCCTAGCTCACATATAACACTTGTTCATTTTTACCTCACTAGATTCATTCATGCAAGCTTTCACCTCTTTCATCCTTCTCTTCAACGCTACTCTTGTCTTTGATTCACTCTCTCAGCCTCTCAAGACCCTTCCTACACCATTACCTCTCCTCCTTCTCGCTCTAGCTCTCAACTCTTCTCGGCTCTCCCTACTCTCAACCTTTCTTAGCTCTCCTTACTCTTGATTCTTCTTGGCTCTCATATACTTATTGATTTGGATCGAAGATCAATTACATGCTTTCATTTGTCAATCTATGTTGAAGATGAGTTAAATCCTTGCATTTATTGATTTGGGTTGAAGAGAAATCACATTCTTACATTTGCTATTTTGTGCTTGTTTGATTTTTTTTTCTTGGATTTTGGCTTTGGTTTTGCCAATGAGTTTGATCTTGCCTTCTTCAATCTTGGCTTTGTTTTTGCCGATGGGTTTGATTCTGCTAATGTGTCTTAAACTATTTTATAAGATTTTAACTTGGATTTTATTAGTGTTAAAATTGGTAAAGGTTCTCTGCCCTTTTTTTTTCAGTGATTTATAATATTGTCATCTATCTTCAAACCCCATGTTTGATTTTTAGAATTGAGATTCTTTTTTTTTTTTTAAACTTCCATGAATTAATTCAATTCCTAACACTGCGATTTTGATTTTTGGTTTTATTTTTCCTATTCAAACATGGCGCCCTTAAAGATTTTCATTTATCATTAGGTTTTATTTATTCATTTATGGTTTGTTAGTTATAGTTTGCACTATGGTTGTTTCATTTCTAGGAAGATGACGAAGAAATGAAGGGAAGATTAAACAATTAAGCATGTGGCCATCATTTTTTTTTTTTAATATTTACTTTCAGACATAGAATCTCACGTGGCATGTAGCTAGGCATCTAACAGTCAAAGAGTCAAAATAAATGGTCAATCTAGTCAAATTGTTAGCTTAAGGTAAAACTGTACCATTTTGAACTTTAAGAGTATATTTGAACTTTATCCTAGAATAAAAAGTTAAACTCCATTTATTTACCTCTGAATTCTGGTTCATACGAATGGCCCCTACACTTTGTCGTCGTAAGTTGCAGATCTAGACCCTAGTGGTGTTTAACGAGACTGCTCTTTTATTAAAGTAAAAGTATTCGACTATTAGCGATAAATGGTCAAATGAAAAGGCTTTAAACCGTATTCGACGGATCTCAAGGCGAAGCCCATTTCTTCAAGTAAGGGGATCGGGTCGTGGTGGGTGGGTCCTAGTCTCTCAGGAAGCTGGCAAACTGCACCCGTTTAAGCAGAGGTCAACGCATTTTTCTTTGATTTATTTGGGACTGGACGGTAAGAACTAAGAAGCAAGAAGGCAATCGGATTTCAAATATAGATGCATGTAAGAGTATGTTTGAATTAAAAAATTTATAATTGAGATTAGAATTCAATTGAAATTGACAAACTAAAATTAAAAAAAATTAATTAAAATAACGTGATTTATATTTGAATATTTTTTTAAAAAAATTGGTTAGATAAATTAAAATTCATTTAGATGATTTAATTCAAAAACCTGTTGAAATATTTAATGACAAAATTAAGCATTAATTTTTTTGTATATATTTTTTGACTAACTAATAAAGTAAAAAATATTAAATTTAAAAATCAAGTTTTATACAATTTCAGTTTTATATTATATATACAAAAATAGTAGTTATTATATACATATTCATTAAAGGCAAGACTTTTTTTTAACAAAAAATGCACTCTAGTTTTATATAATTTAAATGTAAATAAAAAAATTCTATAAAGTTGCGGGAAAATGATGTGATGAAAAATCTAAATAATAAATGAACAGAAAATAAAAATAAGCGTTAATGTTTTAGACTTTTAGTGTTCAATAAAAAGTTAGTAATTCTTTTAAATAAAAGTTGAAGTAAATAGCAAAAACCTAATTGAAAATTGAAATAATGTAAATTTTAACCCTTCATATTTGCATGAGATATCAATTTAATTCTTTGTGTTTAATATTTATCAATACAATCCTTAAAAATTTTTCAGTTATTGTATTAATCCTTTAAATTTTAAAATGTAAATTAATCCTAAAAAGAAGCTGGTGGGTAAATTATATTATTGATATGAAATTTACACATGGTTAAATTAATTCACATTAGCTTTTTTTAATACTTATTTTTTAATTTCAATTTTTCTTTAGGTATTTTAAAAAAGGCCAACACATAATAACAACTATCAGTAAAGCAATGGTAATGAGAGTAAATAGGGGTGAAACACAATCATGAAAATGGTGGCAACGATAGTCAAAGTTCGTGAAGCAGAGGGCAAAAAGTTTTGACAATGATGGCAAGTTTGCAATCGACTATGAGCGACAATGGACCATAGGAAGTGCAAATCTAATGGACCACAGTCAAGTTCGAAGGGACGACAAAGTTTGAGATCGGCTAGAGGTTGCCCATAAGAGAACCACACAATGAACAACCCAGACGGTGGAGATTGGTCAGCGATGACGGCACTAATAGTGAGCAATGCAAATAAGGGAGGTTACAGGAGCAAAAACAACCATGCATGTGAGAAAAGTGAAGCAGAGTTGGAGCTCGGCTGAAGAGAGTATAAAAATTTAAAAAGCATTTAATGCTTTTCAATGGATCAACGCTAACGTGAATGGATAAGCCAAGTCTCATGGTTTGGGAAAAAGGCTCATTGAGATCCAAATTTTAGTTGAAATTTTTTGCCCATCCAAACAACATTTTTTAAGCTTTTCATACTCTAAATTTAGTTTGATCCATTTTAACTCAAGTTAGAAACTAATCCAAACATGCACTAAGTAGGAAAATATGGACGTTTGGCTTTGTCTAAACCATCCGGATTTTTAGGTTTTATTTTTATATATTTATTATTAATTTTTTTATAATTTTTATAAATTAACTACCAAATATATTTTGGGCAGTCTCCATTTAATGTTAAATTTTTGTTAAAATTTTTATAAATTTTTATTTTAATAAATATAATGTTAAAAATAAAAATAAAGACAATCTTCAAATTAACACTTGAAAAAATTGCAACTTGAAGTCAATTTATAAAAATTATAAAATATTTAATATTAAATTAGATTATAAAGATTAAATCTCTGTTATTCAAATTAATAATAGAATAAATGTATTAAAATTTATAATTTTTATTTTAATTAATATAGAATAAAATTTATAAATCTGAATTCTGGACGTTCAAATTACTCATGATAGTGCTCGTCACTTGAGGAGGACTGAAACCGGACGCATAAAATATGGCGATGAAATGGGGAAAAAAATGACAAGAAACAATTATTTGCGCCCCGGGGAAGGGGGGGGGGGGAGCACGCGGTAGAAAGGAAAAGAAAAAAAGAGCGTTGTTAATAATATACAGAAATACAGAAATGATATATTTAAGCTTCATAGACTTTGCATTCCTCGTCGGCAGGGTTAGTCTTGCAGAAATCTTCTAAGGGGTCGGCGCCGGGCCACTTGGCGGCGACGAGATGGGCCAAATCCACAACTCGCTGGCTGTAACCCCACTCGTTGTCGTACCAAGCGACCACCTTGATCATATCATCTCCCATGACCATGGAGAGGGAGGAATCGATGGTGGCAGAGACATCAGTGCAGCGGAAGTCCACGGACACGAGCGGAACGTCGCACACCTCCAGTATGCCTTTCAGAGGCCCCTCCGCTGCTCTCCTGAAAGCCCCGTTCACGTCTTCGGCCGTCACCCCCTTCTTCTCCACGTTCACCACTAGGTCCACCACCGATACATTTGGCGTCGGCACCCTTAGTGCTATTCCGTTCAGCTTCCCTTTCAGCTTTGGCAGCACCAGCGACACCGCCTTCGCTGCTCCCGTGCTCGTAGGCACTATGTTCAGTGCCGCCGCCCTCGCTCTTCTCAGGTCCCTGTGCGATGCATCCAGCAGCCTCTGGTCTCCCGTGTATGAGTGCGTCGTCGTCATCGTTCCCTTCACAATCCCTGCATTACACCCACAAGCCACTCGTTTTCAATTCATGTGTTCATCCCCCCGCAACCCCCCACAAATTCATATTTAAACTCACCGAACTCTTCGTCCAACACCTTCACGAAAGGAGCAAGACAGTTTGTGGTGCACGAAGCGTTGCTGCATTCAACAAACAAGAAAGACCATGGATGAATGAAAACCAGGATTACAACCTCAGGTTGAACAGACCCACACCAACCTTATGATGTTGGAAGCATCATGCGAGTAATCCTGTTCATTAACCCCTACAACATAAGTAGGAATATCTGCCCCTTTAGCAGGAGCGGTGATGATTACTTTCTTAGCCCCTGCTTTGATGTGTTTTCCGGCGCCAGGCCCATCCACGAACACGCCCGTTCCCTGCAAACCCAGGATTAAGGATATTAATTCCAGGTCCGGGCATTCATTTTGTGAGAGCGCGCCATATATATATATATATATATATAATTCAGTCTCATTTGAGGAGCTAGCATCGGCCAGTTGATACCTCAATAACAATGTCAATTCCAAGCTCAGCCCAGGGAAGCTTGAGAGGATCCCTGTTGGACACGACCTTATGGGCTTTCCATCCACAGTGATGGTGTCCTCGTTTAGTATTCTCACATGTGCTTTGAATGTCCCCAGCATTGAGTCGTACTTGAGCAAATGTGAAGCCTGCGTATATAGGTGCATACATGTGTGAAGGTTGTAGCTGCATGGTCAATATAACAAAACCCAATTCATTCCGAGCATGACAATAACCAACAACAGCTTACATTCTTCACACCACCGCTGTCGTTGACCACGACGACATCAAGGGGTGAGTCTTTCCGGCCATGCCAGCAGCGGAGGAAGTTCCTCCCAATGCGTCCAAAACCATTAATTGCTACCTTCAATTTCGCCACTGTTTCTGCCCTTCCCCCGCTCGGTTCCCTGCTCTGTTTTTTTCAATTCCCCAATTCAAAACCATATATACTAAGTTACCAATTTATGAGTTACAACTCATCGATTCATATAAACTATCGTCCAAAAAAGGAACAAATGGGAAAAAAAACACACATGAGAGGAACCCTGCCCTCGTCCTCTGCTGTAAACTGATATCCCAAAGAAATGAAAGAACAATGGAGAGCGAGATAACCTGGGGAGCGAGTTGAGCAGCGACCAGATCAAAGAAGGAAGAGGGATGGGCATTGGTGGGAAAGACGAGGCATGAAGTGGATCTGAGGCCAGAGAATTCAGCCACCTCAAGTCTCTGCACGAACAAGAGAGCCAAGTGAGCCAAAGGAAGAAAGGTAGAAAGAGCGTTAGATAGGTGGGTGTACCTTGGGGGCGCATTGAGAAGCGAAAGAGTGAGAGGCCTTGGATGGAAGAAGCCTTGTTTTGGTGGGGATTCTGGTAGAGGCAAGAGCTGCGTTGGTGGCCATGGCTGCAGCGATACCTTCCCAACAGCTTCCTCTACAGTCTATATATTTGACTATTTTTCCTTCCCTCCATGTCCCAAAATTATTTTTGCTGCTCGGTTGCAGAAATGAGTGGTGAATAAGTTGAATCAACATGTATCAGATAAGATCACGTTTGGACGCACAAGTCCCGCTTCACAATTTGAGCCACAGATTGTTCGCCCTCTTTTCTTTATATTCAAAAAATTCCCATAATAATAAAATCTCCCGACAATACTCTAGCGCTATCCCTCACGAAGCTAGTTTTGCGCACAAACTCATTAGGTTAATGGGATTCGGATTATTTAAATTTTCTTTTAAAATGTCCAAATTTAAAGGTTTTATTTTTATTTTTTATTTATTAAAATAAAATTATAAAAGTTTTAATAAATTTACTTTATCATCTAGATAATATAAATTTGATTTGAATAATCGAGTTAAATATTAAAAGTTTTTAAAATTTTATAAATATTAAAAAAACTTTTTTAAAAAAATTACAAGTTAAAAATTTTAAATAAATTATCGAAAGTATGTTTGAATAATTAATTTATAAAAATTTTAAAAATTTTTAGTGTTAAATTGAACTATTAAGATTAGTGATAAAATAAATTTATTAACATTTTTATAATTTTTATTTTAATAAAAATAAAAAAATTTCTTAAATTTGGATCGTCCAATGTAAAAATCTCATATTGGTGCTCATCAGGTTGATGAGCATTGAAACTAATTCCCTCCATCACTAATTTACTCTGTCTCTATCTCAATTGATAGATAAATGAAAGCATTTATATCTTTATTCATAGAAATATTTATTTAGTTATTTTTAAGTTTTATAATATCTATAATTTTTATGTTTTATAATTAAAAATATTTTTCCTTTTTGTTTTTCAAATTTTAATCATTATTTTTAAGAGTTTAAACAAACATTATCTAATATTTAAAAAAAACGATTTTTTGTTTTTGTGAAAATATCATGGGCAGTGCTTTAATTTGATAATCCAACACCAACAGCACGCATAAAAATTAGATAAATTTTTCATTTTAATTTTGGGTCCCAAAAGGCCTTTAGCTTCGTCGGATTCTTTCTATTACGTGCTTACTGTACTTGATTGTTTATTACTTAGCAACCTGATGAATCCATGGTGCTACTTTTCATTTTTCAATGCACATATGCTAACTTGAATATAATCCTGCACTCGTAATTAGTTGGAAAATTCCAAGATGAATACAATCCATTACTTATCGAATCCAAGGTCAATTTACTGATACACTTGTTTGCTAGTTCACATCTATAGTATAATCAGCTCATCATGACAACTCATTAACAAACTAACACAACTGAAATCCCGAAATCATTCATGCTGTATGCATAGATCTCCAGAAGGACGGCCACAGCCCACAGGCAAGTGAAGGTAAAGACTGTTTTACCCAAGCCACGAGCTGCCAATAAAATATTTAAAATAACTGATGAATTTATTACTGAGAAGAAATTAGTATCACAAGAAATTTAGATACATTTTTTAAAGCAAGGTATCTGCCGGTGAAGAGAGTGATAACCAATTGCACCATAGCAGGGCAGAGAAGCACGCTCATGTAGCAGTTTCAATTTCAGAGTTCACAGCTACTCCATTTGGGGCCTCCTCTGACCGTAGCTGAGCAGAAACATCATCAATGGCATCGTTCAGTTGTGCAATTTTCTCAGCCAGTACTCTTCGAGTTTTCTGTAACTCAAGGAAAGCAAACTGTGTGAGTGAAATGAAACAATTATAACACAATGAGACTCAAAGTAGCAATAACTAGAAAAAATTCATCAAACATATATGTAAACTTTTGTTAACAAAATTTATAATATAAAAGTACGCAGATGGAATACCAGTTTTCAGATGAAAGGAAATTATGTCAAGTTAGTCAAAAATGCTAGCCTAAGAGAATTAAATAACTACAGTTACACATCCTTGCACGATCAACAAAGACATGTGCCCTTAACAGTCTTCAGAGAGACAAATATGAAGGATGGAATCAAGAGAAACTAGTAACGACTCACCTCTAAAGCTTTTTCCTCATCATATATGAATTTTGGCAATTTTCGCATTAATTCCTTTCGGTCAGCACCAGCTAGTGCTTTGCTGATCTGTGAAAGAGAAAAATATAAATAAACAATCGAGCATTTTTTTTTCCCAAAAAAAAAAAGTACCTAGCATAAAAATTTAAAATAAAATGATAATATTTTGCTATCTTAAAAATTCAAAGGTCAATAGAGCCAATAACTCATATTTGTGCAGATTATTGATGTCTATTGACTTGATAGTAAGAGGGGATAAGAAGGCACTAAGTTTTTTTTTTTTTTTTTGGATTACCCACAAGCATCCTTTTATTGGAGGCAATTTTATTCGAAATACTATCAGGCATTAAATGTGAACACCTTTCCTAATGGGAATTCAAAACTTAATTCGTCATGTTATGAAAGATTAGCCTCTTTCGCTAAACCCAACTCTTGTTGGTAAGAAGGCATTAAGTTGATGACTTTATGAGTAAAACAAATCTTAGACAGCTTCCAATTGGATAACAACATCCAGCAGCTGGAGTAGTATATTGCAGTAACAAATACTACCTGAGGTGCATACACACAGCCAACTGTGCCAACGATGAGTCCTCCTAATATAAATCCACCAACGAAAATGCTAGCACTGCTTGGCCTTCCATCGTTACTAATTACAGAACAAGAGGTGAACCGGGTTAATAATATACCTCCATATTCAGCTGAAAACATTAGAAACCATCATGGTGATTATTCTTTCAAATTAACTATTTTTTTGTTGTTCTGTGTTTGATTTTCCTTCCTGTGTTCCTCAGCATATAATTATCTTACATTGATAATTGGAATGCAACATGCTTTTTGAACTAACAAGCACGTGCCAAGGGTCAAATAATAAAACACCATGATCATTTTGCCAATTATTAATCAATATAAAAAGCAAAAACTTAAAGCCAGATATGCAATGGGAACCATTGTTTGACATATACTACATTGCAGAGTTTCTTCACCATTTCCCCATCTTTAGGCCCCTCCCATCAACTAACAAGCATCACACATTTCTCAGCTCCAGCTTTATTGATACTTATGCATCTAAGAATGGAAGCTGGGACCAAAGTAGCACATATACTGAGACATAGATTTCATGACATGATATACTCTCTCCGGGCCTATTTATAAGGTGAAGAAAAAAATATTTTTTTGTCTTATTTATAAGTCATATAACTTTGAGTCCGATTAAGAGAGGTAGAGGAAGGCCTAAGAGAACACTCTTGGAAGTTGTTGAGCGCGATCTCTTAATTAATAATATTCCTAAAAGCTTGATAAATGATAGAGCACAATGGCGTCTTGCAATCCATGTAGCCGACCCCACCTAGTGGAATAAAGGCTTGTTGTTGTTGTTGTTGTTATTTATAAGTCACATCATTAAATTTTTATCACAAACTTTCCATGTTACCCTCCATCAAATGTTGGTGAGAGAAAATGTTATTAAAGTATGAACATTTAATAAAAGCAAAGTTGAGTATTTATTAAATTTTTAGATAGGATTAATGAGTTTTACGGTTTTCCATAATTCTAATAAAATGTGTTGAAAGTGTTTTATAAATAGGACTAGGGGAGAAAGTATGTGTGTGTGTGTTTGCGTCTATAGCACCCAAATAAATATTAAATAAATACTAAAGATTTTAGACCCTTATAAGCTATCAATACATTCTCAATTTACAACAATGCAAACAAACTACAACGCACCGAACCATATGAAACAAACCAGGGAGAATACCTATAAGCAGCTTGAATTTTCATTTTCAGAGGCCTTCTGGTTGATGATAGTTGCAGCCTCCCGGGATGATTTAGATTCAGAGACAATCTGGAACGTTTTGTCCTTGCCCGATTGTAATCCAGTTCATTTAAGTGTAATTCTAGCAAAAAGTTTTTGCCAATAGTAGAAACAGTCAGCAGACAACAAGCTTTCTGGATAAAAGGAGAAAACCCAAAAAGAGAAAAGGAAAGAAAAGGGAAGGGGGTAAAAGTTGACAAAGAGCAATTCATGATATAATGTGCTAGCATTGATTTAAGCAAACAATCAGACCCCCAATTTTTTTGTTTTTAAGGCGGAAAACCTTTTCAACCGGTGAAAATTAGGCAACTAGCTGGTCTTGTAGAAAATATATAGTATGTCCAAAGGGTGGTGCTCTGTTCAACCTAAAACACAGAATCAGCTGAATGAAAGGAGATACTTAACTCGAAATATTTAAGTTAACTATAATCAGATGATGATACCAACCACTACTCTCATACTGACACGCAATCTCGTATTTAATAGTTAACACCTCCACAAACTTCTAGTTTGTAGACTGAATTTCGTCCTCGGGACGTTAAGAGGGGCAAAAATCGGGACGTTTAGACCCATAATCAGGTCGACTTGGAGTGTATTCACTCATTCCCTCTTTCCCTGGGTCCTTCGTGCATGAAACCGAATGAGCAGGAATAAGACATGTACTCATCACACAGCGCCAGACAGTATTTAACAGACTGTTTAGAAGCCAGCCTCCCGGGACGTCCCAGGTGCATTGACGCACAGAAAAAGAGTAGATGTTCCTAAAAGAGAGAAGACAACTTTTCTGATCTGAGCAACTTTAAATGTTACTAACTAGAACACTCAACTCTGCATCCATCGAGAGAGGGAAGGCGGAGCGCTTTCAAATGCATACTTCTTTCGTAATTTTGCCGAGTAAAATTTATATATTCTTAGTCGGTTCAAGCAGCAGAGAAATCAGGGTAATGCACCCGAAAATCAAAAAATTGATCATCCAATTAAGCCATCAAAACAGCAGACTGGAAATGGAAATCAAATCCTTGAACAAGTAAATATTGTAAGAGACGTTACCGAAAGGAAGATGAATTGGAGAATTTTTTCTTAGAAGTACAGAACCCGATACAGAAGCCATGGTCGAAGCCGGAAAAGAGAAAGAGGGGAGGAAATTAAGATAGGGTGCCAGACGATCAGCACCTGAGAGGCTGTGAGGGAGGCACAGTAAAAAGCAAGCGGCTCGGATTTTCTTTCTTTCTCTCTCTTTTTCGTTTTTTTTTTTCTTTCGATGAAACCTAAGCGGCAATTGCAACATTGACAGTGGGTTGGTGACGGATATGGCCAGTCGCTCAGCCAACATTTTTTTTTTTTTTGGGGACACATCAGCTTACTTTTATGGTTCTATTCTGTGATTACCGTGCCGCTCGTCGTGAGAAACAAATTCGGTAACGTCCCGTCGTTCCCCATTTTATAGACCTGACCTGTTCCATGGCGTGTGCGTGGTAGCCCAATATATGAGATGACAGTTTATTTTGAAAGTTACAGCGGCAGGGAAGGAGGGTCACTCTCTCCCTTCTTTTCAATCCACCCTCACATCTTAATTATTTATATTATTTTATTAAATAATTTTTTTAAAATTATAAAATTAATGAATGATTAAGACCAAAAAAATAAAAAGAAAAGGAGGTAAGAAAAGAAAGAGGAGAATCACAGAAAGGTCCCAGAAGACCAATTTAATTCAACATAAGTACTATCATGTTCTGAAATACTAATAAAATCCCAAGATCTTTAAGAAGAATAAAATTATTCAAATACCCTTACTCAAGTTTCCTATTTCCCCTAAAATCTCAGCCAACAAATTGCAACATCACGCTGGAAAAGATTTGGAGCTCTAGAATGTGGACAGAAACATCGTGCGTGGAGAGAACAAGGAAAATAAAGAGATAACCCCATCACACACGGAGAGGATAGGGGGAAAGAGTCAGGACACAAGCCAAAATGCGTTGTTTTTCTTGGTAATTCAAACCCATCCTTTCCAAATTGTAGGAAAAGCCCTAAACACCAATAGAAAGTAGAGTTCTCGATCTAGATTCAAAGGCAATTTTACTGTTATATTTTGTATAATCTAGCATTTAAATTCATGACTTACTTAAATTTCGGCACCCCAATCTCACATTTCCACCCTCTAGATTTACTACATCTTTTTGCCATATGATTGTTCATCTTGGAACAAGAACACAATCCAAATGATGCGTTCATTAGGGAATAAAAAAGGGATTAATCCATTAGTTCATTTGTTGTCAATTAATGAAAATGGGCTTGTCATGTTCTGTGGAAGTTCTTTTATTTTGCAAAGGTTCTCAGGAAAGAAAAAGTAAGATTTTTTGAAATCAGGCTTGTATATTAATAAATCAATGAATTTTTATTGGTTAATGCAGTTTTGATGGATTTGCCTTTTGGATGTTTTTGTAAGAAAGTTCTCGTGTAATGGATTTGTTTATGGCACAAATGATTTTGTTAAATTCTTTCCACTAATTTTAATGTTCCTTTTCGTGGCACTTTCTAATTTTGAACAAGTTTGAGAATTATTGAGCCGAGATAAAGAATCCAATCTAATGCCGTGCTTAGACTTCTATTTCAAGTGATATGGTGGCTGGTTAATCACAAAAGAAATCAAGTTTTTGCCTCTATTTCAGCAGCTAACTGATCAAAGAGGACATGAAAAAAGTCTAAATGAACTTTAATTATGTGTATATGATGTAATTATAATGTTTGATGGCTTGTGTAATTGTCATTTCCTATTTTAATTGGGAACTCTATTAATATGTAATGTTCAAACTTAAATTCCCAAATTTGCAACTTTCTTACGAATACTTTATAACTTATTTTCACAATTTTAAGAGGAAAATCAATCAAAAGTTACCAAACAATTAGGTTATATACTGTAAGAGATACATTTAATAATTTGTAACTCATATGCCTAATTTTGCAACTGCCTTTAAACAAATTTGCATCTTCTTTTTAAAATTTTGAGTAAAAAAACTATTAAATTCTTAAACTTGCAAAGAAAACAAGTTATTATTCTATAAGATAGCTCCAGTAATTTATAAGTAAAACATCTAATTTGCAACTTTTTTGGGATAAATTTAATTTGCAACTCATTTTTAAAATTTTAAGTGGGGATGCTTTACTGAATTATTGAACTTACAAAATAACCAAGTAGTTATTATAGGAAATAGCTTTAGTAATTTGTCATTGAAATACCCAATTTCGCAATTTCATTGCAAATACTTTGCAACTATTTTTTGCAATTTTAAGTGGAAATACATTGTTGAATTTTTGAATTTGCAAAGCAATCGCGTTATTATTCCAAAAGATTGCTCCACTAATTTATAACTGAAATACCCAATTTTGTAACTTCCTTACAAATACTTTGCAACTACTTTTCACCATTTTAATTGGAAACACATTGAATTTTTGAACTTGCAAAGAAACTAAGTCATTATTCTAGGAGATCGCTCCAATAATTTATAATTGAAATATCCAATTTTGCAACTTACTTACAAATACTTTGTGATTACTTTTTGCAATTTTAATTGAAAACACGTTGTTGAATTTTTGAATTTGCAAAACAACCAAGTTATTATTCCAAGAGATTGCTCTAGCAGTTTACAACTAAAATACCCAATTTTGCAACTTCTTTGGGATGAATGTATAACTCATTTTTGAAATGTCAAGTGAAAATACTTTACTGAATTCTTGATCTTGCAAAGCAATCAAGTTATTATTCTAAGAGATTGTCCTACTAATTTACAACTTAAATACCCAACTTTGTAACTTCATTCCAAATACTTTGCAATTGCTTGTCGTCATTTTAATTAGAAACACTTTAGTGACCACATAAGATATGAAATGTACATATAAGCTACATGTATTAATTCATCTAATGCATGATGAAATCAAGAGACATATCTTCTCTAATCATTCTTTCATTACAACCCCTCATCATAATACATTGTCTCATGTATATCTTTTAAAATATCTCCATCTAAATGAAAATAACAAAAATTTTCTTTAAACAATAACTTTTCATCATACCATTAACATTAGCCTACAAACAAGCAAAATAAAATGTCATAATATATGACTCATAAATAAGTTACTTTTTTTATTAATGATTTTTGCATCAGTGACAACATTCATCTTAAAATGTAAACACTCAATGATAAATTTTTATACGTTCAGTTGTAAAATATCGAATCTTCATGCTGAATCTTTAAAACTGTAAAATAAAAAAAAAACCTTTAATGTTCAGTTGTAAAAAATCTTTCTTTTTGTTCACAAGTATCATTTTGAAAGAAGGAAACTGTAATGGGAAATAGACTCCAGGGATTTGCCCAAAAAAAAAAGCCACATTTGAATGCACTAGCCAAAAAACCTACATACCCAATTCTAGAATTAAAGTTTACCTGAGTTAATAATTATGGTAAGTCCACCTCTTCCATGGGCAACTATGTTTTGGTCAGGTATTCTTCAACATGTCTCTCATTTACTTACATATAGGTCTCAGTAACTATGAACTTGTTGATAGATTAGAATTTGTTTTTACCCATTGGTTATGCTTAATGTTGAGTTTAGTTGCTTAATCTTGCATTTAATTGTCTATTTAATGTTTGGCCATCATTAAATATGAATTTGAGTGTTGAGGTTTTTTCTTGACAAAGAGAAATCTCATTTTGACCTTTAGATTGAGTAATATGAGATTGGATTATTATCTAATTTGCAATTAGAATAGAAAAATACTTAAGTGCCCTATATAATCAAATTAGAGTAAGTTAGAATTGAAATTGCCTCTTATATAATTGTGTTAGAAATAACATAATTAATTTGAGAGATGACTATTTGAGGTTCGAAAGGCTCCTGTAGATACAAATACTCTAGATTACAAAACTGACATTAAAATTAATTAATTGGATAAAAGTAAGATCTTTGAAGCTAGCAAGGGATTAGTAACCCTAGGTTGCCTTAGACATTTATAGTTGTTGGCGTCGTAATCTCATTACATTTTATTCATTTCACTTTTTAAAATTTTTTAATGAATCAATTCTAATTGATTTTGTTTAGTGTAAACAAAAGTGAAAACTTTACTGCCTAATTGCTATTGTACTTGATTTTTTGTGAGATCGACCTTGATGTACTAATATATTGCACCTTGACTTGTACATTTGCAGCGTAATATTTTTTGTGCATCACTTTTATAAAACCACCTTTATTTATATGCTTTTGTATGAACTAATTATTATCCTTGCATGGTTTTGATACTCCCAGAATTCCACAAGACATGACAACGAATTTATTTAGCATGTGAAGTCCAGCTTTTTGATTATCTCCCTTGTAGTTTTTTTTTATGGCATGTAGTTCATACATGATACATAGTTACATATTATATGTTGCACAAATTACATTGTAGCTGAAAAACAAATATATTGATACAGCTATTAATTCAGGCAGGGTGGATTCCATTCAAACTTGCTTGAATATGCCCTAAGTCATAAAAACTATAATATCACGGCTTGACCCTAACCTCTTCAGTTCTAGATCAATTTGGACTAGACTAAATTGCTTTTTAAAAAAAAATTCAATTTTAACTTTAAAATTAATTTTTTATGTTATGAAAAAAATAAAAATATATTTGTGGGGGGCTTAAAAGACATAGAAGACTTGACTTTTTTAGATTAAAAATTGTTAACTATATTAAAAGCAAAAGGATAACAATGACAAAGAAAGAAACAATGTTTTATACAACCAAAAGCAACATGCTCGAACCAATCTACCTTAACTAAAGGGTGATCAAACTAATCATTCCCAAATTATGGGGAGAAACAAAATAAGGGATTATACCATAATTTCCCTAACTCAATATAATAATGTGGTTCCTTTATATAGGTTTAGAGATACCGATTAATTAGGTGATTAAACACTAATCACATTGACTAATCTAATATTCCAACAAAAATAATAAAAAAATATAACATTGTGAATATTTTTATTTTTTAGAAAATATCTGAAAATAATGTATTCAAATATATGGTCTCTTAATACAAAATGAACTAAAATTTAAAAAATCAATTAATATTTAATGCATTATATTTAAAAAATATTTTTTTATTCAAGCATTCAGACCAAGCTCAAATCTAATCATGTTTGTGTTGGATTTCTCAAGCCCATATGCACATTGGCCTAAATAGATTCGAACATTAAAAAGTGGTGCTTTTTAAATCTTTTTTGACTTATTTGAGTTTGTCCCTTGGAGTTGGTTGAACAACCTATTTTATATATTGACATATTTATATTTGGCTTCACATAGTTTGATAGTCACGTGCTAAATAAGTTTCACAATCATGTTTGCTTCTCTTGCAGGAAGAAAATATCAACATAGTAGGAAAAAGGTCAACAAAGAGAGAGGCTATGCATTAATTTAATTTTATGATCCCATGTAATTTTATCATTTAATTTTAATCAACAATTATAGTCAAAACTAGGATAGTAAATCAACATTCAAGATTCATAAAAAAATCATTATTCAATATATTTCTAGCATTTAAACAAATTATGGAATAAGGGTCACTATTTCATATGAAGGAAGGAGTAGATACGTAGATGTGTGTAGATGTTTGTATCTGATTCATTTAAAAAATGAAGGAAAAAAAAGAAGTTTGACACAAGGTTAACGAATGAATTTGAAAATAAACGAAGTTGATTGATAAAAGCAAGGTCCTCTTCCTCATTCGTGTAACGCGCGGGAATAACGCTAGTCGATGATTAAAAGCAAATGTACTGCATATAGAAACTATAAAAAGCAAATGTACTTGTATGAACAAGCATGCTCACTCGTCATTGACATTTTTATTGCTAAACAAGGTAGAAAAAAAAATACAGTTTAGATGGAGAGGGCGTAACGAATTGAAGAAGTGCAGTCACCGAAACAATATGAGTAAGAAATACCACAAACAATACATCTAAACATTTTAAATTAAATAGAATAATGAAAGTCAACTTTGAAAGCACACTTTTCAACAAGTGATGTAGAGTAAATGTAATTAATGTTAGTAATGTTAGTGAGTTTCATGCATCAAGTTGCTCATACTTGGTTTTTCTTTTTTTATTAGAAGAGTTAAAAAAAAATATTCCTCATTTTTTTTAAAGGAGTATGAACATTCTTATCTTTTAAAACGAGCAATATTGTGTTAAGTATATCAAAAGTAAAGCAATGTCACTCTTTCATAACTTTTGACTAAAAAATTATTTTTGACATTTGAAATTGATATAACTATTACCTAGTTAGGCTACTCCTGATCCTAATTGAGAATTTAGAAATTAAACATAAATTTAGCTATAACAATTCCCAAATTCATTAGAGTGTTAAGAAAAGAATAAGAGATGAACACAAAAAATAACTCAAGATCAAACAGATTAGCCTTGCACTCTGTATTTAGTCTTTCGAATTGTGTCTTTGTCAGAGTGTGTCTTTCTTATGGTTATTACTTATGGTCTTTTGCATCCCAAGGAGCCCTAAAATCGGGAGCTTTATGTCTATTGCAAAATAGATCTGATGGTTTAGATTGTTTCATAAAAAATTTGAACTCCTACATGTCAAAACCCTTTGTTCGTGCATAGTTGTGAGCAGTACACTATTGTTCACGCATGGACAAGAAGTGAGGCGAGAGATCTTCCAATTTTCGCTTCATTCACGTGTGGCATGGATATACTTGAGGCAAGGAGTCTCTTAAATTCTCCACTCATCCTCATCGTTTAAGCTCTTTGATGTTATGTTTGCCCTTGGTTGAAAGCTTTTAGATCTGTTTGATGTGCTTGATATGAAATCTCTTATTTTAACCATATTTTCAAGTCCTTTTTCTTTTCTTTCTTGCATTTTGACAAATGATGAATTAATGAGATTACATGGATGATTTTTGCCTCAACTTAGCATAATTAATGAGCACATTAGTATAAAATGGTCCAAAAGTTAACATAAATAATAGGTATATCATCCAACTCAAGGACCTAATCTATGCTCACGAGCGCAACATAAGCCAGTGCAAGGATTGTCAATTAAGTGTTCATTCGCTTGGTCTACCAGTTGTTTTTTACCAAATTCTTCCACGTGGGTCATTGGATATTCGAATGGGATTATTTGCTGGGAAGATGAAGATAAAGGAAAAGGAGGAAAGTCAGTCATTTGGAAGATGATTATAGATAAAAAAAAAAAAAAGAGTTACAACTGTATCAATTTCAATAGTTAAAAAAATTCTATTACTTAAACATTAATCAAAGGTTAGAAAGAGATGAAACTACTTCAATTTTAACACTTTTAGGGCATTGAATGTCATAATAAAGCATTTCAATTGAAAGTAATATTGATTTTTTTTTGGCCAGAAAGTAATATTGATTTTGATAATTGCATTGACATTAAAATTTGTATTTATTGTACCGTAATCACTAAACATGACAACATAATAACAAAACAACATTTAATTCAAAATTCACATAGTTGCGCACCTGTATCACGTCAGTGTGTCATATTGTCATCATTAATAAATCATACTCCCTAATACTATAATTCTCTCAATAATATATAATTCTCCCAATTGCCCCCCCAACACACACACAGTAAAAAGGGAAAATTTTAATGAGAGATCCTTGATCAAACTTAATTAAAAAGAGAGCCTCATAATTTTTGAAACTTCACTAAAGGACCCATACAAAATTGCTCATGAATTTGTGACAGAAATGACAAAATTATCCTTATTTAAATAAACAACATAAACGACTTGTTCATTTCCATACTGCATATTATTCATTTACTTACGGGGTATTATTCATTTCTTTACTTCACTTGTTTATAGGTTTAATTTCACTTGATTTCATTCCATATTAGTTTTATGACAAGACAACTTGTTCATTCTCATATTGTATGTTGTTCATTTATTTACCAAATATTATTCATTTCTTTACTTCATTTGTTTATGGTCTTTGAAATGAAATCAAGTGAAAGTAGGTCTATAAACAAGTGAAGTAGGGAATGAACAACATTTCATAAATAAATGAATAATATAGAGTATGGGGATGAATAAATCATTTATATTATTCATTTAAATGAGGGCAATTTTATTATTTCTATAACAAATTCAACAGAAATTCTGTTGTGAGTCCTTTAGTGAAGTTTCAGAAATTTTGAAGTTCTCTTTTTGATTAACTTCAGTCAAGAGTTTCTAACTGAAATTTTCTCAAGCAAAAAACTCTGCCTTTTGCCCAAAGCAAGAAAAAAAAAAAGTAAAAAAGTTTGCCAACGCCGTGCCGGCGCTAGCATACAGGCCCAAAGCACTACGTGTGCATTTGATTTTTAATTGGTCAAAAGTTCATTTAAAATTCATTTGGTGAAAGTCGATTTAGTGAAAGTCAGATGTTGTAATGAAATTTATGTTTGGATATATTTTTTCAAAAATCAGTTTGATACATTAAAAGTTATTTGATTTGTGATAGTGAAATGTGCTTTTGAATATATAATTACAAAAAATGACATTAATTTATAATGATTTATAATTTTTATTGTACAAATATAATACATTTAAAATATAATAAAGATTTTAAATAACATAAATTTTGATCTATAATACTAAAAATTTGATCTTTAGTTATTTCTATTTTTTTAATTTGTAATTTTAAAAGACGTAATAAAGATTTGTAATTTTTATTATACATTAATGCTCAAAGTTAACATGATTAATTATTTAATTTATAATACTAAAAAAATTAATACCTAATTATTATTATTAAAGTAATAATTATATTTTTATTGAATTAATTATTTTTAAATAAAAGAATAAGAGATTAAACTTAGATAGTATGATCAAATAACATTTTATTTTTTAAATCTACTTTTTAAAAGTTTTAAATAGTTATATTTTAAAAATTTATTTTTAACTAGTGTTTGAATGTATTTTCAAAATATGCTTTTCTTAGGTCATGTTTGGTAGACTGGAATTGTAGAGATAGAAATGGAATTAGAAAAAGAATTTGAATAAAGTGATGTTTGGTAGACATGAATCATAATTCCCAAGAATCCCAATTTCATGAAAAATAGGTTGAATTGGATTCTTTGTTTAAAGCTATGGAATCAAGGGCAATTCCATAGAATTGTGACTTTTAAGACACTTTTACCCTCATAAAAATTATAGAAAGACAATTTTGCCCTAAAAACATATAACCCTAACCACACTAAAAAATGACCACACCCAATTATAATATATGTGTGTATGTATAAAATATAATACGATATATGTATTTATAATATTTCTTCTATGAAATATTTTACTTATATATAATATTTATCATCTATCTAATATTTTATTTATATACTAAACATGTGAGGAAATTAAAAATTTTTTGTAAAATATTTTACTTATATATAATATTTATCATCTATATAATATTTCATTAACATATAAAATACATAAGAAAATTGAAACACAATTAAGATTTTATTATGTTTTATTTTAATTTCTATATAGGGGTATTTTTGTCCTTTAAGTATAATTTCATTTCCATGTCTTACGTACCAAACAAAAATAATGTAAGGATTCCATCTAATTTTTCTGATATACCAAACATATTTTATAATCCAATTCTATTCCAATTCTGATTTCAATTCTAATTCCGATTCCAATTCTAATTCCATCAAAAACTATTCAATCATATCAAACGAGGCCTTAAGGTATTCTATCTAAATAATTTTTAATATTTTAAAAATAAAATTTTATTTTTTGAATATGAAATGGTGAAAACGAAACAGACCCTACAATATATAAAGTAAATAAACTGGTGAAGGAGTGAAATTTTGCATATTTTTCTGTCTTCCTTCCTCTTCTTTCTGCCTCTCTTCGGTCAATTCTACCCGACGAACCCTAGAATTCCGAATCAACTTTGTTTTCGTCTCAAAATTTGATTTATGCTGTCTGGGTCTACTTTCAAATCTTCCGTGTGGTGTTTTCAGTTGAAATGAGGAGTCTGTTTACCACCAACTTGCAGTTTCTGTAGGATTTTCTTACGGACCTCCAGTTCGACTTTTTTTTTTTTTTGCCCAGATACTGTTTTTCGTCGGGCTATTACCTGTACATGCTTTTGACTTGCTAGTTATTAGTGAGTTCTTGGTCATGGCTAGTCGTCATGGATGGGAGCTGCCTTTTCACAATTTCCAGGTACTTTAGTCCACAATCCATTCTATCTAGTCTTTCCCGGTCTTTGCACATTGTTACTGTTCCAAATGTGGTTTACCCACAAAAGTATTTCACGCGGGGTTTTTCAACTTTGGTTTTATTGCATTTCGTCATCTACTTTTTTGACCTTGTCTGCCCATCTCATGTACAAATGCACGTTTCTTGGCCTCAGCGCCTGGTATCAAGCTTTTTTTCCTTCCTTTTTTCTTTAAATAAATTATCCCCGAGTATGGTTTGATTTAGTGTGCGTTTTGGTATCACGTACTTGCTTTCCTGATAAGTCATTAACAGGCTTCGGGATATTTGCGGAATCACTGACATTTTTGTACGTTATGCTTTTCCTATCAGTTTCTGGACGACCGGATATCTGAACTCCAACAACTACAAAATGAGCCTACTATTTCTTTTAGTAAAGACGCTTTGTTTGCCTTATCATTTATCTCATATACACATTAAAAAGTGAGTTTGGTGTTCGGACAGATTTATTCATGTGAAATTGTGATCTCTTCTTTTTTCAATTAAAGGGGAATGAATCTTGATATAGGTGAGTGGACAATAAGTTATAAGCATATTATTTGGATTTATTTTATCCAATTTGATGTAAATGAAACCTAATCAAGCGGCTAACAAGTTTTAATAAAGCATCATGATATTTAAGTTTTACCCTCCACTTATTTTAGTTACTGATACTGTAAAATTCTAACTTCGAGAAATAAAATTTCATGGATAAGCGTGAAGATGAGTGAGATTGACTTGAGTAAAGCTAAAATAGAATGACATTGAAATCTACCTCTTCTACAGATTCACGAGTTGATAAGATTAAATGTTAGCATGGATGCCAAATTTATTCTTAGTTTCATGTTAGACTATTGAGGAGTTGGATGATCTTCAGAAGCAAATGGCATTAGCAATTCCGGAAATTAATTTTTTTGATTGTGAACAGGTTGTGGCTATAACAGTTTTTTTCCTGTTATCTGTTGCATATTATGCTTTCTTTGCTCCTTTTCTTGGGAGGGACATATATGAGTATATGGCTTTTGGCGTTTACTCAGTCTTGGTGAGCAGCATTCTTTCCTGATCCCTTCTGCAAGTTTGATATTAATGAAGAAAATGTATTTTAAAATTTCATGTTGGGTCTTTCTTCATTGTCTTAAGTTATTGCTGAATTTCAGGCTTTCTCTGTATTTATTCTTTATGTTTGATGCACTGCCATTGATCCTTCTGATCCTGGAATCCTACTTGATGCTGATGAGACCTCAAGGCATACATCACAATTCAATGGAGAGTTGCCAGGTGTGGTTTGAAGATTATTGTAGTGTTTTGATACAATTTTACGGCTCTTAGGTTGATTATGAATATGTTTGAATTCACCACAACGGTATAAAATATATGCATGAGCAGTTCTGGGAAAAGTTTAACTCATGTTATATAGTTTAGTCTCTTCTATCTGAAGTGGGATATATGGGGAGATAGTTCTATGCTATCTTTTTCCCAATTAACTTTACCATTATACTTGTTTAGAATATCTGTGGTATGTAGCTGTAGCAACTAGCAAGCGATGATATAATTTTCTATGGAATTAGATAGTTTAGCATTCTATTATGATTTAACTCCGCCTATGTTTATAGCCGGTCCCAAGCCCGGGTAAAGGAGGAGGGTTGTGTTAGGCCATCAACAGCCAATGTAAAAATTTGTTGAATCTATCATGAACATGGACAATAGACGTTATAATGTTAATGCTAGGTCGTTGCCCGTAAGTAACGCGCTGCATGGCTCGAGTACAGTGATAAGTGAGTTAGAGCCGCTGCATCGGCGCCCGGATGTAGTGTTAAATGAGCAAGGGCTACCGCGTCATTTTGGACGCACGCGGCTAAAGAAGTTAGTCCATAAGAGCAAAATTAGATTTGGTACTTGGAATGTTGGGACATTAAATTGTAAATCTGTAGAGGTTGTAGGGGTTATGATTCAAAGGAAAATCAATATCCTTTGCTTGCAAGAAACAAAATGGCGTGGAGAAGAAGCTAAGGATATTCAAGGTTTCAAACTTTGGTATACAGGAAAAGTAAGTGCACGCAATGGAGTAGGCATCATTATAGATAAGGAGTGGAAGAAGAACGTTGTAGAAGTTAGCAGAATTGGAGACAGAATTATTTCTTTAAAAATGATAATTGGACGTGAGACTGTTAATATTGTTAGCGCTTATGCGCCGCAAGTCGGGACAGAAGCCAGTCTTAAGGAATTATTTTGGGAGGATCTGGAGGGGTTGATTCGACACATACCACAGAGTGAAAAGATTTTTATTGGAGGAGACTTTAATGGGCATGTCGGGAGGGAAGCTGGTCAGTATGCGAGGGTGCATGGTGGTTTTGGTTTTGGAGAGCTAAACAATGAAGGGCAAACTCTTCTTGATTTCTCATTGGCGTATGATTTTAAGATTGCCAACACTTGTTTCAAGAAGAGAGATGAGCATCTCATCACCTACAAAAGTGGAGCCTCAAGGTCGCAGATTGATTTTCTTTTGGTTAGGAACACAGATAGAAAACTTTGTAAAAATTGTAAGGTGATCCCTGGAGATGCTGTAACGACACAACATAGGGTCCTAGTCCTTGATGTGTGTATTATGAGTAAAATCCAAAAACGTCGACAAGTAGTAACACCAAGGATTAGGTGGTGGCAATTAAAAGGTGAGAAGCAAGATATTTTCAAGCGAAATCTTTTGGATAAAGGAATTTGGGATTCTCAGGGAAGTGCTAACATCATATGGGAGGATATGGCTAAAAAGATACGGGAGGTTGCAAAAGTAGTTTTGGGAGAATCGAAAGGTCCTGGTCCGAGAGATAAGGAGTCTTGGTGGTGGAATAATAGTGTACAGGACAAAATCAAGTATAAGAAGAACTGTTTTAAAGCCATACATTTGTGTAACAATGAGGAAAATTGGGAGAGGTACCGTATGGCTAAGAAGGAAACTAAGAGAGCTGTGGGTGAAGCTCGTTCTAAAGCTTTTGAAGAATTTTATAAGAACCTTGAGACGAAGGAAGGAGAGCAAAATATTTATAAGATTGCCAAGAGTAGGGAAAGAAAATCAAGAGATCTAGAACAGGTAAGGTGTATTAAGGATGAAGAGGGAAGAATTTTAGTTACAGATGATGAAATTAAAAATAGATGGGAGACTTATTTTTCTAAACTTTTCAATGATGGAGAGGATTCATCTAGTAACTTGGAGGATTTAGTAACTGGTGAAGGAGAACAAAATTTGTCATTCTATCGAAAAATACGTGATAAGGAGGTAAAGGAAGCTCTTAAGAAAATGGCAAATGGTAGAGCTAACGGACCTGATTGTATATCTATCGAAGCGTGGAAATGTTTAGGTGAAGAAGGGGTGAGATGGTTAACTAAGTTATTTAATGTGATTTTACGGTCCAAGAAAATGCCTGATGAGTGGAGGAGAAGTACATTAATTCCTATTTATAAAAATAAAGGAGATATTCAGAATTGTACTAACTATAGAGGGATTAAACTCATGAGCCACACAATGAAATTGTGGGAGAAAGTAATTGAGCACAGGTTGAGATTGGAGACAAGTATTTCTGAGAATCAATTTGGTTTTATGCCAGGTAGATCAACTACAGAGGCGATTTATCTACTAAGGGGATTAATGGAAAAGTATCGTTGTAAAATAAAGATCTACACATGATTTTTATTGATTTGGAAAAAGCTTATGACCGTATACCAAGAGAAGTGCTTTGGAAAGCGTTGGAAAAAAAGGGAGTACGGATTGCTTATATTAAAGCCATACAAGATATGTATGAGGGGGTAAAAACTAGTATAAGAACGCCTAGTGGTCAAACAAAGGATTTTCCTATAAAGATTGGGCTACATCAGGGATCATCTCTGAGTCCTTATTTGTTCAACTTGATTTTAAATGTTTTGACGGAACATATTCAAGAGGAAATCCCGAAATGTATGCTCTTCGCGGATGATATAGTTCTTATAGCAGAGACAAGAGAAGAGGTTAATTGCAAACTTGAGTTATGGAGGAGGACATTGGAGTCGAAAGGTTTTCGTCTGAGTAGAAGTAAGACGGAATATTTATATTGTAAATTTGATAAAGGACTATTCGAAAATAATTTGGAAGTGAAATTGGGAGATCAAATTATACCTCAAGTGGAAAAGTTTAGATATTTGGGAGCCATTATCCAAAATGATGGCGAAATCAGTGGAGATATTTCACATAGAATTCAAGCTGGGTGGTTTAATTGGAGAAAAGCTAAAGGAGTTATTTGTGACCGTAAGGTGCCTAATAAACTTAAAGGAAAGTTTTATCGTACTGCTATCAGACCGGCAATGTTATATAGTAGTGAATGTTGGGCTCTAACGGGACAGCAAGAGCATAAAGTTGGAGTAGCAGAGATGAGAATGTTACGATGGATGTGCGGACATACACGTAAAGATAAAATTCGAAATGAGCACATACGTGAAAAAGTGAGGGTGGCACCTATTGAGGAAAAAATGGTAGAAAATCGGTTGAGATGGTTTGGGCATGTACAAAGAAGACCAAGGGAGGCACCAGTGAGAAGAGTGGAACATATAACTTTGAGTCCGATTAAGAGAGGTAGAGGAAGGCCTAAGAGAACACTCTTGGAAGTTGTTGAACGTGATCTCTTAATTAATAATATTTCTAAAAGCTTAATAAATGATAGAGCACAATGGCGTCTTGCAATCCATGTAGCCGACCCCACCTAGTGGGATAAAGGCTTGTTGTTGTTGTTGTTGTTGTTGTTGTTAGCATTCTATTATGATTTGCGTATTATATTGCAGAACCAAACAAGATAGGACTACAGGTTGAAGGTATGTCTGACCAGCATGGTTCACATAGTTGCCGGAAACTTGGATGCTTCTTCTTTGGTTTTCTTGTCAGAGAAGATTGCTGCAGTAATGAAGATATTTTACAGCAGCAATCTGGAGGTGACGGCCTTCTATTCTGTACATTGTGTAATGCAGAGGTACATGATTCTTGTGAAAAAAGGAAATAAAATAGAAGACTTGTTATGTTTCTCCTCCCGACTCTCCCAAAGAAGGCCGAAAAAATAGTATGGACTGAAACAAGGTGATGTTTGGGTAGAACATAGCTCAGTCTGCTTTAATGTAGATGGAATTGAAATATGACTTCCCAAAACTTATATGCATAATGACGGAATGGAAAACTAATGCCTCTTTGATGCTTTATGTTTTGGCATAGATAAATAGTTTCTTTTAACAAAAAGCTTTGGGAGTCGCATGCATTACTCTAGTCATTCTTCCTGGTGCACTGTATTATAAATTTTTGTTGAAGACTCCACTTTTCATTTACTTGCCTCACAGCAAATCGAAATGTCATTATGTGATCACAACTTACTGGTTATAACCTGCAGGTCCAGATGTTCAGTAAGCATTGTAGGAGTTGTGCCAAATGTGTTGATGGATTTGATCACCATTGCCGGGTAATCCCCTCCCCCCCCCCCAAAAAAAAAAAAAAAAACCTGCTCCGACTCATTTGCTCAAGTTTTCATGCTCATTGTTGTGTTGTCACGGGTTGAAGGTCAGTTTTTTATATGAACTAAGAAGATTAAATTTAACTAATAAAAAGCCTTGGAAGCTTATAAGTCTCAATTTTCCACAACTTTGCATTGATTCTGCATGGTGTACTTCTAGAATGGTATTAATGTAGGATAAGAAAACTATTTTTATTATTTGTTATAATTATGACTATGATTTGCAATTAATTTCTTTGGTAATTTAATATTAGGTCGGAGTTATCAGTTTTGATGTTTTAAATAGGGAATTATCCCTTTATGTTATTTAAATAGGGATAGGATTTCTCATGTTTGTTTTCTATGAATAGGTATTTCGTTAGTCATAGTTGCTACCCTCTCTAATTGATCAATAATTTTGAGGTTTGATTTAGAATGTGCTATGCAAATTTCCTATTGGTTTTACATCAAACTGGTTTCATAGCATGACCGTAGTCCACCTATGTGTTCATTATTTCTTGGAATTTGTTTCCCCTATGGTTCTGCTCATTCTTTTTGTTGTTCTGTCACCAGAAACAGCTCAAACTTCAGTGTTCTTGAAGTTGCTTAAAAGAAAAAAGATAACTCTCATGAAATTTTAACTTATTGCTATCTAATGTTCAATGGCATTATGCCAACACCTCTCATCTTTCTAAAGTACTCCTGCCGTTGCCTATTTATAAGAAACAAATCATAATTAAATTTTAACTATCATTTACTTTTTATGAATGGGCCTGGAGGGAGTACTAATTTGTGGCACCTAAGCCATTCCTATTATTATTGCAATGCACCACCACTCGATTGCCGGAAAGTTGGTGATAGAATATGGGATAGTGGTTAATTAAGATAATTAGGGTTAATCTAGGATATTCAGCTTATACATTAGGGATATTTAAATAAAGATATTTGTCAATTAGGATTTATTTGTTATCTTAGATTTATTTATCTTTAATAAAATAGAATATTAGTATCCTATCAGCATTTTTTAAAATTTAAATTAGATTTATAATTTGAATTTAAATTATTGTTTTATTATTTTAGGGCTCTAGAAATAATCATAGGGTTTCTCAGTTGATTCATACTGTACTTGATTAGTGAATAAGAATTTGCATGTTTCTCTCTATTCCTTTCTCTTCCTCCCTTCTCTTTTCTCCCTCTTCCCCTTTCCCCTTCCCATTTCACATCAGTTGGCATACCACATTTTTTTTTATTTTAACAGTTCTTTGTAATTAAAGTCTAAAATTTCATGTGGATTATTATGAGTCATGATAAGGTATGACTTAGCCTTCTGGGCAGCAACCCACATTCACCTAAAACAGGCCAGGCTGAGTGAGAATGATGGGGGAGTGGGGAGAGGTCTGACTTGGTCATTCAAAGGGAAGTTATTGATTAATTACCAATGAAAGCATCTGTGCATAACTGCCATTAAGGGAATAATATGCATCTGTTATGATTGTAGGAAACAGTAGGCATCAGGTGTACTTATAGTTATGTAGTATTTAGTATGAATAGCAGTAGGCAGTACGGTAGAACCGTAGAAGCTATCTAGACTTTATTATTCACCTTCTATTTGGAGATTCTCCATTTGTTTATTAGAGAAAATCAGTATTTAAGATTCTTGTACCATTTCCTCTAGTAAATCTTGCACTATTTACTCATCTAGAGATAATTCTACCTGGAAGAATGAACAACCACAACAGCAAAGATTTCTCATGGATGATGACTTCGCTACTTTTATGAGAAAAGAGTTAAAGAAAATAAAAGATAGTATTTCAGAAATTGAAGATGGAGTTCGTGACCTAAGTACAAATATGAACAAAATCAATGAAAATGTTTAACATTATAGGAAAAGTGTCTGAAGTGATGAACTTGCAGGGACAGCCAGACAGTGCTTGAAGGACAAAGCTTTAAGAGATAAAAGACACAAAACTTGAAGAGATAGGGCAAATCAATGTTGAGATTATTCAAGAGGATAACAAAAATAAAGTTGCTACTTATTCCTTATATGGATGAAGAGATCAAATAATGATGTTGTTGATAATTCTCTGCATATAAAATTTGTCTTGTTTGTTATCCCTGAAGTTTTTGTAGAAACAAAATGACATTTTGAGTTTTGATTTCAGAACTGCAACTACCACTGCCTACTGATTCTTTGTCATCACAAACCATATGAACGCTCTCAGCTGGCACACAAAATGGAATGGGAAAGAGAATGGAATAAAAAAAGTGATTCTGTGAATAAAAGAAATGTCTTTGGTGTGGAATTGAGAAGAAAATATTTCTCATTGATACAGAATATTGGAATACAACTAGGTATTTGTACACTAGGGTGGAGAAAAATGCTAATGATGACTAATAAAGACTAATAAAGCTTGGGAATATTTACAATAGTAGTAATATCTTTACAATAAATGTCTAATATTTCCACACTCCCCTTCAAGTTGGATCATAGATGCTAATTATGTCCAACTTGCCTATGCAATTTTCAAATGTAGGTTCAATAAATCCTTTAGTCAAAACATTAGCGGCTTGCAACTTGATAGGTAAATATGTCAAACATAAAATTCCTTCTACTTTTTCTTTGATGAAGTGTCAATCTATCTCAACCCGTTTAGATTTGTCATGTTGTATTAGATTTAAGGCCATATTTATGGCATCCTTATTATCACAGTTGAGCTTTAATGGTGACTTGTTCCCACCTGTATTTCATTTAAGACTCGTTTTAGCCAAAACTCCTCTGCTATTCCTTGGGCCAAAGCTCTTAATTCAGATTTAGCACTGCTTCTTGAAACAACTTGTTGCTTTTGGCTTCTCCACGTAACCAAATTTCCCCACACAAATGAACAATAACCAGAGGTTGATCTTTAATCTTTATAGGTTCTACCCTAACTTGCATCAGTGTAAACTTCAATGGATCTTTGCTCATGTTTTTTGAAGAATAGGCCTCTACCAGGAGTACCTTTCAAATATCTCAAAATCCTGTAGATTGCCTCCATATGACTCTTCATGGACAATTCATATATTAATTGGCTACACTGACAGCGAATGCTATATCTAGTCTCGTATGAGAAAGATATGTCACCTTTCTAACAAGCTTTTGATATCTCTCATTGTCAGCTGCTTCTTCTTTAGCTTCCTCCTCTTCTTCTTCACCTTCCCTTAGCTTCTTCTTTGGTTTCTTGATTTCAACAAGGGTTTTAACAGGTTTGTAACCCAACATACCTGTCTCCTTCAGGAGATCAATTATATATTTTCTCTGAGAGACATAGATTCATCTTCTTGACCTTGCAACTTCCATCTCAAGAAAGTATTTTAGCTTCCTGAGATCCTTGACTTCAAATTCCTTGTCAAGGGCACCTTTTACTCTTTCTATCTCCTCAAAATAATCTCTAGTGAGTATTATGTCATCGACATAGAAGATAAAGATACATTTCTTGCTTCCCTCAACGTTAACAAACATTGCATGATTCGAAAGAGCTTGCTTGTAACTTTCAAACTTTAGGACTCTCAAAACTTGTCAAACCAAGCCCTTGGTGACTGTTTCAAGCCATATATAAACTTTTTCAGTTTACAGATTTGATTGCCTTTATCAAACTCGAGAGGTAGAGTCATATAGGCTTTTTCCTTCAACTCTATTTAGAAATGCATTTTTGATGTCAAGTTGATGAAGTGGTTAATAAGACTTATTCAAGAGGGAAGCGTCAGAAGATAAATTAGGATTGATTTCATTATTGTTTGATTTAGTATTTGATTTAGTTTTTATTTAGATATTTTCCTAGATTTTATTTAACTATTTAGTTGTTTAGATTTTATTTAGTATTTTATTTATTTAGATTTTATCTTGTATTTTAAATTTTAGGAGATTCTATTTAATTATCTAGTTATCTGGTTTTATTCATTATTTTAGATTGTATTTAACTTTATAAATATGACTAGCAACTTAGAAGCTAGCATATCATTTTTTCATCAATAAAATAGTTCTTGAACTCTTTCAAGATTCTCCTAAGTGTGGCTATTGAGAAAAATATATAACGAGATTCTTATTCTATATCATCTTAATAGATTTATTTCTCTTATTTCATTTTATTATCTCGAGCGACTAACGGTGGCCACTCAAGATTAGCTGCTATAGATGATAATACTTTGATCGTATTCAGTTTTGCCATTGGAGGAAATGTTTCTTCATAGTCCAAATCATATGTCTGGGTAAACTCCCATGCAACCAAACATGCTTTCAATTTGTCAAGAGCTCCATCAGCCTTGTATTTTAGGGTAAACACCTACTTACAACTCACTTTTTTCTTTCTTTTAGGTAGTTGAACAAGTTCCCATGTTCTATTCTTTTCTAAGGCTCTCATTTCTTCCGTGATAGCACTCTGCCATTCAAGAATGCTTAAGGCTTCCTGTGTAGTCTCAGGTACCTTTACCTTATCAAGGCTAGTAATAAAAGCCTGATATTGAGGAGAAAGTGCATTGTATGAAACAAACCTATTTATTGGATGGAAAGTACATGAAAAAGATTGCTTCCTCAAAGCGATAGGAAGATCAAGATCAGTAGATTCACTTATTTGTTCTATATTGTCTAGCTTTGGGTTTTCAGGAGTTGTCCTAAATTCTACGTCTCCATGAGTTTTTGCTTTAGGAGCTACCTTTGGTTTTGACTCTCTTGGTGCTTTAGGTACAAGTTGCTTACTATCATTCGATTTCCTTTCACGAGTGTAAACCGATAGTTATCTCTTTTGTGGTCTTTCTGTTTCTCCCCTTGTCTCCTTGTGTTCCTCAGATTGTGACATAAGAGAGGATGAAGGTAAAGACTCAGATGAAGGTAACGACTCAGGGTTTCGTGGTAATAATAGTTCAATATGCACTAGTTCTCTTTGGAGTTCTTGTTCCCAAGTTTGAGATTCTCGTATGCTCTCCCCTTGAATCAAATAATTGGGATAGAATGGAGTTCATTCATGAAAAGTAACATCAAGGCTTACAAATGTGTGTTTTGAAGTAGGGTTGAAGCATTTGTATCCTTTCTGAGCAATAGAATAGCCAACGAATATGAATTTGATTGCTTGAGGTTCAAGTTTGGTATGTTGATGGTTATGGATAAAGGTTGTGCAACTAAACACTTGAAGCTGAAGATTGGTTCAATATGGGATGTGGAGAAAATACTTTGCAATTTATGCAGAGGAATTTCAAAGGATAAGATTTGACTGGGCTTACGATTGATGAGGTAGGTTGCAGACAAAATAGCATCCCCCCAATAAAACTTAGGCACCTTGCAAGTAAACATGAGTGCTCTAGCAACATTAAGTATATGACAATTTTTCTTTTCTTCAACCCCATTTTGTTGGGGCGTATGGGCATAAGAATTGATACGAACAGTATCGTGCATTTGGAGGAAAGTATTCAAAGATCGGTTAAAGTATTCAGTGTCATTGTTAGTGTGTAAGACTTGAATTGTGGTATTAAACTGGGTTTTGATCGTGTTGAAGAAATTCATGAATGTGGATGTGGCCTCAGAGTTGTTTTGTAAAAGATAAACTCAATAGACATGAGTGTGATCATTAATGAAGGAAATGAATCATGTTGCCTTAGTGCGGTTGGGTGTATGGGATGGTCGCTATAAGTCCCCATGAATGGTTGTGAAAGGCTTGGTTGGTGTGTAAATGGCTTTGGGAAAGGATGTTCAATGGTGTTTGGCAAGTTCACACACTTCACAATGAATGTCATTGATATTTAGGGTTAGACATAAAGTTGGGAACAATCGTTGAAGGTAATGAAAGTTAAGATGACCCATCCTCTTATGCCACAACATAAAATTATTAACTTTAGAGATAGATGCAGAATTACCAATAACTGGTGAGTTACCTACTTGAGGGGTGACTTTAAAGTAATAGAGTCCCTCATACTTCTTAGCACTTCCGATTGTCATTCTAGATAATAGATCTTGAAACACACAATGGGATGGGACGAATTTAGCATAACAATTTGATTGGTTGGTCAATTGACTAATTGAAAGTAAGTTGCAATCAAGTTTTAGCACATGAAGTACAGATTCCAATATTATGGAATCAGAAATTTGAATACTCCCTTTTCCCACTACAAGTGCTAAGGGGCCATCTACAATCTTGACTTTGATATTCCTAGCGCATGGGGTATAAGTGATAAACAACTCATGATAACACGTCATATGGTTGGAGTCCTGAATCAACAATCCAAACTATGGTGTTGCACGATGTCTTTAAAGCCTGGAGAAATGTTCCTCTTTTGGCCACAGACGGTCGAGACCTATATTTTTCCACTAATGCTACAGAGCCATATTTAGTCATCGACATCATAGGACTTATGACCGTCCAAATGACCATTTCTAGGGCTTCCCATGAGATGAAACCCATACATAAGAAAGGAATCAGCAGGAGCATTTGATTGGTACTCCAAAAGTCTTCAAACAGAGGCCTGAACATACTGTAGAGACAATAAAAATTCAAAAAGAGTACCCAACTGTAGTAATCTTTGGGATCTCACCAGAAATCTTGTTTCATCGCTAGAGAGATGAGCAGCAACCTGAATGGCAATGAGACGTGCCCCCATGTGCCACCTAAGTAGTTTTGGCGCTAGATCTAGAAGCCGTCAACCACAGCGAGCTTTGGGGATTCTGTTGGTCGAGGCTTGCTGACCACTAGGCTTGCTGACCACTCTTCAAACAGAGGCCTGAACATACTGTAGAGACAATAAAATATTATCACATTCATAACTTTCTTAGGGCATAAAACACTTTGCCTCATGGAACCATGACCTAGAAACCCTTATGTTGATTTCGAATCTTTCGCTTTGATACCATGTGAAATTGAAAAGAAAATGTTTCTCATTGATACAGAATATTGGAATACAATTAGGTATTTATACACTAGGGTGGAGAAAAATACTATTAATGACCAATAACTACTAATAAAGACTAATAAAACCTAGGAATATTTACAATAGTAAATATCTTTACAATAAATGTCTAATACTTCCACATTTGGTATCTTTTGAATGATAAAAAAGGTTGGAAAACTTAATGTGCAAGTCTTCTAGTTTTCCTTGATTTTGAATTTGGTCCTTATAATTATTTTGTTTTAATTAAGTTCTTGTAGATTGATTAATTAAAGATATTAGTCCTTGAAGGTTAAAATTATTAATGAGTAATTAACTTTTTGAAAACAAAAACATTCTTAAAATTTATAGAAAAGTTGATTTAATACGATGTTTACATTTTTATTATTTTTTTATGAAAAATTTATAAATATAAAATTTATGTAGGAAACATAACCTAGTTGTATAAATTGAGTTAAAAAATTATGTAATTACTTATAAAGTTATATAATATTTTAATAAAAATATAAACAATCTTAATTTCATTTTTTAAAGGAAAAAAATTCAAAGACTTTAACCCTTAGGGATTAACATAATTAATTGATCAAACTATAAGTATTTGGTTAATACAAAATAAATTATAGTGACCTAATTCAAAATTGAGAAACTAGAAGGACTTGGAGATTAATTTTCCCAAAAAGTTATAAAAAGAGAGTTAAGTAATAATAGAGATATAATAGACATCGCATATATTGATATTTGTGCTAGGAAATCCTTTTCCTTTTCCGGGGATGATACCTAACATGGATTAGAAGAGAACCTGATCATACCTTTTAGATATTTGAGATTATGTGTTCTCTGCACACTTTTTGTCTCCCTGGCTTATATCACTCAATTATTCAACTGCTAGTATCTTTGACTCAAGATTCTTAGGAAAGCAACATACATGTTTTTTTTTTCAGTGGTTGAACAATTGTGTTGGAAGAAAGAATTACGTCACATTTGTGTGCCTCTTGGCAGTGAGCATTGTTTGGGTAAGATTATTCTTAATATATTTTTTCCTGTCATTTTCACATAAGAAATACCTTCCATTTTAGAATTCTGTAATTTATTATTTTATATGCAAGGATGTTGTAGCTTATGGTTGAATTTGGAGCTGGGATTGCTGTGCTCATCCGATGCTTTGTTGATAAAAGGGGTACAGAAAATCAAATTGCTGAAAAACTTGGGGTTGGATTCTCTCAGGCCCCTTTCGCTACAATAGTGGTATATTCACTCTCTATCGCATCTCTTTTTCATTCTTCCTTTCTGTTTTGAATTTTCATATTGGAATTTAGGGTATTGTTAGTGGAGGACATCAAACCCCTGATTTAGTCTAAGGTCATAGTGATATTAATCATGTGCGAATAGTACTAGTATGTTTGTTATATGGGAACTAGGGGCTGGAAGTAATTAGGAAATTAGGTTCAAGGGTGTTTAGGAATTTATTTGCATGTTTCTTTTTGTATAAATAGGGGATGATCTGCGTATGTCTAAGGTATGAATGAAATACTATTTTGGCTTATTAGATAATTAGGGCTTCTATTATGTATCAAGTGGTATCAGGGCTAGTGGGATGTCTGGTTGGACTAGTGATGTATCAGAATAATTCAGAGAGAGAGAGAAATAGAGAGGGATAGGAAGAATAAGAGGGAAGAACAGATAAGAGAAAGGAGATTCAGAGACTGAGAGGAGAGAATGAGAAACAAGAGAGATATTGTACTGAATAGTACGCTCAATCTTATTGACATCAAAAAGCATCGGATTTACAAGTGTATGTCAGGGTATTTATAGGCTCTAATCCATCTTAATCAACTAACGGCTAATTTCCCAAAAGTAATCCAACTGATAACTAACCATAACTGTCATAATTATAATGACATAACAAGTGGTGGAGCTACAGGTGGTCCTGAAGCTCAACCAAGATCTTCAGGAAAGGTTTAGCAACTTTGCACAAAAGTGGGATGAATTCCTTACACGCTTGGCCAAGAAATCAAGACTTACCCCTTCGCATAACAAAGTAAAGAATAGGGATGAGCTTGAACTTGTTGTGGAGCAAGATGGGTGGGATAAGGATAACGAAAACAAATAAAAATCGAACAGCAGAAAAGGAGGGGATAAGTAAGTTGATGAAATCATGCCAGGAACTGAAGAGGTTGAAGGGTTGCTGAACAAGAAAGAGTGGGGGGAAGAGTTTGATGTTGGTCTCTCGAAAATGTAGCTCCTTTTTGTCTCACTTTTGATTCTTTTAAGCAATGCCTTCTCATGGTCATCCACGATCAGGAGCTGATCTCACCTCTCAATGCCCTTGGTGCCTACAACCTACAAAGAGGAAAATTCACAGACCCTCTGCTCTTCTCATGTGCCTTATGCAATGTGTGGGCTGTGTAGCACATGTCCTCTTCAATGTGTTACTTTGACTACACACGCTCTACAGTAACATCCTTGCCTCCTGCAACAACTTGGACTCTCATGGCCCGGCAAGAGCAGCTTCAATTCCCTTAGCCTTTGGACCCAAAACACCAGCATTTTTGGAAATCCAGAAAGAAGGGTGGAGTCGAATAGCCTCTTGCAACACCAGCATTTGGCAGTGTGATTTAATTCAAAACCAGTACTGGCTTGGTGCAAAGGGGCAATGGGTATGGACAATTTTTCATTCTTTGGTGGGGCCAGATTATTATGCTGGCATTTTGCCCCTTGTAGTTGCTGGAAAATATTGAATAGAACCTGGGTATGTAAGTTTGATGCAAAACAAGGTTCTTTTGTTGGGCTTTTGCAAGAAGTAGCCCTCGTGGGTTCTGTCAGGGATGTGGTTGAGAAGGCTACAATGTTTCGTGGGCTTTATGCAGAGCTGTATATTAACTTAAACCATCCAGGAGTTATGGGTCTGCTTTGTCATGAGAGAAGCGCGGATCATCAGTTCTTTTGCTGGAAACTATTCTGCATCCTCTTGAATGATATTTTTTTCCCCTTTCTTTAAGTTGAATGAAGATTAGTTAACGGTGTAAAACAAAGGAATAAAAGAGGGGTGAGAAAAGAACAGAAGAGAAAATGATCCTTCAGGCAGTAAATGGAGTGGTTGGGTGGCACGAACATGATGCGAGTTGGGTGTCCACCTCAAATCCTATGTTACGACATATGGGCATAGATTGAAGAGTTTGGCATGCAAAGGAGCTCTTACAGCGTGTGGTTCAAGTCTAGAGACGAGACTTCTGTGGATGGAGCTATCTGGACCTTGCGCCTCTGGTTGAGAGTTTGTAAAGTTCTGACAAGCTTTCTGGCAAATTTGGGAGTGTGAGAGGCATTGGAGGGAGTGTTTAGAATGTAACTGTGCTCTTATGCCAAAGTGATGTAAAACAAAGGAAGCAAAGAGGGAGAAGGGAAGAAGAGAAGAGGAGAGCACAGATTTCATTATGCTAAATCCCATGGCCTGCCTTTAGTTCAACTAGTGAGGGCTTTATATATAGAGCCCAATAATTCCTAATAATGTAAAAGTAAAAAATAATTTAATTGAAACAAATTCACTTTAAATATTGATTAATACTTTATAATCTAATCTTAATTAAAACCGTATTTCCTACATTTATTTTTATTCCTAATTTAGAAATAATCTTTTCTAATATCTTTCCATTCTAAGTAATTGAAGGCATGCATCAACGTATTACAAAATTCTAAAATGGTGATCAGGCAATATGTACGGCTGTCTCCTTGCTGGCAGCTATACCTTTGGGAGAATTATTTTTTTTCCATATGATCCTGATTAGAAAGGTATCTTCAGTTCTTCATAAACTTTACTACCTACTGACAACTCTATATAGCTTGTAAGCAAACATTTTCTTTGCCAGGGAATCACAACACGAGTACGTTGTTGCAATGAGAACACTAAGTGAGGCTGGACCGTCAGTGGATGAGTGGAAGAAGCTCTATTGGAAGGAGTCTGCAATATAAAGGTGCTTGGTGTACGCCTCCAAGAATTTTTATGGACCACCAGGTATTGCCAGCACTGGACAATGGCCTGGTTTCCCTAAGGATATTTACCAGTCTTTTTACATTAACTATAGACACTTAACGGTGGTGTATAATTAAGGAGAATTGAGTGAAGCAAACTAGTTCTTTGAACACATGATGCTGTTGCTATTTAATATGAAACGCATTTTTCCTTCTTCTTCTGCAAATGTGTGCTTTATTTGTGATTACATGCTAGGCTAAAGGACATTGTATTTCTTTGTTCAAAATGGAAATAAAGAAGTGCTAGAATTTAATGATGAAGGTATCCGTCATGCCATTAGCTAAAATTAGAATAATAATATACAGTGGTGGCAGTCACATGTAAGCAGTTGGCAAAATTTTCAAATTCCATGCTCCATGTCAATTTCGTGTCCTTCAGTTTTTAGTCCATGTTGCTGTGGTTATATTATTGTGACATGGGCAACAAACATTCTTTATGTAAATAGTCAAAAGACCAGATATGTAACAATCAGAGGCTGATTTTGTGGCATAGTTTAGGGAACAATTTTCCTTAATCTTTGTACTGTGCTATATCTATTTCCGAACCCTTTGTACATATAATTAATATCAATGAGATTCGGTGTTCTCTATCTGACCACAGTTGTCTACCTTTCTCATAAGAATTGGAGAATGTGGCGTGTCATGATGATAATTTAGATTTAAATTTATATTTTATTTGGTGTATTTCCATTGGAGATGTTATACACACCCTATCCTTTTTTTCTGGATTTAATTCCTTGTCTGGCCTATGTTAAGCAGGATGAAATTATACCGCATTTGGAGCCAGGACGGCTACCATCCACTGTTGATCCAGACATGATACAGCCACCTGACAAGGAAAAGAAATTAAATCAGCGTCCAGTGCGAATCAGTGCATGGAAACTAGCAAAATTGGATTCTAATGAGGCTGCAAAGGCATGTGCAAAAGCAAGAGCATCATCATCTGTGCTTCATCCAATTAGTTCTCGACCTTATCCACATGATGCTGATCATTTATCACCTAGCAATGAGAGCAGAAGAAGCAGTCCGGTTGGCAACCGAGGATTTGGGAAAGATGGAGCATCAAGGTCATCTCCTTCCAAGAGCTCGTATCCACCCAGTTATGTGAGCAGGGAAGATAGTATCAGTATCTCGAGCAGTCCTCAACACTCGAACTTGGCTACTTCGCCAATGATGCAGCAGCAGCAGAGTTCAAACAGAGATCATATGAATCCCGTGTATGAGCAATCATCCGCAAATCAGTCACCATGGTCAGCTAAAGAAAGGGAAAGAAGCAGTGTACGTGCAATTCAGGTTGCCATGAGAAACAGCAGATTGGCCATTGCTGAAGACGGAAGATCGTCAGTGTTTTGGGATCAAGAAGCTGGGCGCTTTGTGGCTTCGTCAGGGCACAGCAGCAGTCAGATTTCTGGGAGAGAGTTATTGTACACGGAGCATTCTATATTCTATGGAAGCCCGGTGGTGAATGAACGGCCAACAGGGGAAGCCGGTAATGTGGGTAGAGGTGACCGGCTGCCCGTGTTTGTTGCCGGTTATTCCCAGCAAAACAAGTTCCCTTCTAGACAACGCTACTAGAGCCGTGTCCCCTAGGTCGACGTGGATTAACAATGCATTGGATATTCGCGCCTCAAACGATAGCACATGGGAAAAAAGGATGGCAAAATCTACCTTTACTTTTTCAGCAGATTGAACCAAATATAATCAGATGAGTTGTAATTTATTCCAATAGTGGAAGTTTCCAATATTTTTGCACATTTTTAGGAAATTATGCTATGTTCTTAAATTTGTCAAAGAAAAATCCAAAAACCTCAATTTTACAATTTTTGAGAGGGCTTATTAATTAAAAATGTCCAGGCTTTTGAGTAGGGCTGTGTAAAAGTCTTCCAGTCCTGTCTGGTCCAGTCCAACCCGAGATGGTTTCAGTCTTGTTCGGTCTGTATAGTCACTGGTCCTTCAGGACCAAAAGGACTAAAAAGATCAGACTATTTTTTCAGGTTGGACTGGACAAGAGACCAGGCATCCGGACCACTTGGTTCAGTCAGTCCTATTAATTTTTTTTATTATAATTATAATTAATTTATTTTTGACAAATGTTTAAAGTGTAATTGATGCTAAGGAGATGATTGCATAAAGATTTATTAAATTTGTTTCTAAATTGTTATTGTAATATAGTGTTGTTGAATTTTTTGAGTACTGTTTTTATTAAAGTTTATAAATTTAAATAATTTAGACTATAATAAAAATATTTTTTTTTATTGTTAGAAATTATTATGGATTTATTATTATTATAAGTATTTTTACTATCTTAATTGAGTTTATTATGTTGGAATGGATTATTGCCTCTCATAGAATAAAAAGAGTGAAAAAAAGTTAAGTGAGTACTGGACTGACAGGACCAGTCTCCCAGTCCTATGGACCAAGTCCGGTCCTGTTAATCTTCGGGTTATTACTGGACAAGACTGGACTACGGGTTGCCTAACCCAGTTTTTTTCATGAAAGAGACCGGACTTCGGTTTAGGGTGAAGTTCAGTGACGTCCAGTCTTTTGTGCAGCCCTATTTTTGAGGAATCCCTGAAATGAAAAAAAAAAAAGGAGTAAATGAGGAGAGGGAGAGGCAGAGGGGTAATGTGAGGAGTGGATGGGATTTGGGGGGTTGAAAAGTCGGATGGTGGGTGATGATGAATGAAAAGCGAGGAGATGAGCATGGCAACTTGGTGCTCATCCTGCAGGTGCAGCTTCATCATTAAAAACAGCTTCTCTGAATATGGACCTTCCAACCACCCTAACCAATTCTCCAGAAGATCGTCCGCCGCGCTTCTCGTTTCCGCCCTCCCCCTCTCCTTCCTTTGCCTCCCCACTCCTCCTGTCGTCGCTCGCGACAGACGCTTCAGCTCTACCATCCCCATTCAAGACTACCTTTCTTCCAGTTAAGTTTTCTTTTCATTCCCCCAAATACTTATTATTGACCTGGATTGGCCGTTCCTCACTTGCGTTTCATGTTTGTGCTCTTTGATTCAGTTGATGGATTGAAATACTACGATTTGGTTGAGGGAAAGGGTCCTGTAGCGGAGAAAGATCGGCTGTTCTGGTCAGGAGTGGAACGTGTTATACAAATCTTGCTGTTCCTTTTTTCCTCTTGATTTACTGTTGGCTCCTTCTCGCAGGTGCACTTTGACTGCATATATCGTGGAATTACGGCGGTATCGAGCAGAGAATCTAAACTCCTTGCCGGAAATCGTATTATAGCTCAGGTTCCCTCTTCTTTAAGACTTTAACTTGGTGTTGCCGGTTTCAGTGTGGCGAGCCAAACGCCTGATGCATTCTTTGTGCTATTCTAAAGCCTTATGAGTTCACGGTCGGATCTCCGCCTGGAAAGGAACGGAAACGCGAGTTTGTAGACAACCCGAATGGTCTATTCTCAGCCCAAGCAGCACCGAAGCCTCCCGCTGCCTTGTATTCCGTAACGGAAGGGATGCGGACCGGTGGAAAGGTGTTGCGGACAATCCCTAATTATCTTGCTGCTACCGATACTCTTGTCAATTATATTTGAGCGTTTTCTGTTTGAATGCTTGCAGCGAACTGTGATTGTCACTCCCGACAAGGGATACGGCCAAAAGGGGATGAATGAGATTCCGGTGAAGCCCTCATTTCTTCAACTTATTCTTTTGCCACCAACCTTTTCTAACGTTTGTTACTGTTATTGCAGCCCGGAGCTACGTTTCAACTCAATATTGAACTTTTGCAGGTAGTACCGACTGAAAAGTGAAATCGATTTGATCCCTGGATAGACATCTTGATTAGCCTTACACTTGTGATGCCTCGACGCTTTTTTCCCCCTTCTTCTCGCGGGAAGGGAAGCGGAGAGAATGTCTCAAAGCATGAACCTTCATTCTTTGGGATCGCCATTGTAATTGTAATTCTTGTTTGCCTTTTGTCCTTGGCCCCGTGCTAGCATGTTGTGGTACTGTTGTTATGACTCAGAATGAGGCATCTTTATTTGACAACATAATTCACAGATCATCTTGGTTTGTAAATGTGGGCAGCTTCATCTTTATAGATGTTTGGATAATTTTTTCTATTATCACTTATCAGTAGGTATGAATAGAAAGCACCACATGTAAAACACTAATTTGATACGCGCTAGTAGAACACCAGCAAAACTGAAAAATAGTTGCCATCAACATTAGAATTTAAAATGTTTTGACATTACAACAATGAACGTCTCAATTATTGTTCTTTGACATCTCATGCTTACGAAGCATGCTAGAAGAGTTGGTCGATTTCAAGATTGTTTATCTCAATCTTTTGAATCACAGGGATTAAGGGAATTTTTTTTGTTTTTGTTTTTAAAAACTGTTTTCTGATTTTAAAAACAAAAACAAAAAAAATCACTTGAATAACAGATTTGGATTTAATTGTTTTTAAAACTATTTTTATTTTTTTAAAACAAAAAATAGAAATATCTTAGAATTATGTTCATTTTATTTTTCTTATTTTCAAAACACATTATATTTGATTATTAAAAAATATAGTTAGCTTAATCAATTTCTATTATAAACCATAACTATTTTTATTGTAAAATTGTTTTTAAATTAATACAACCAAATATATTTTTATCAAATAGGTCCTAACTCAGATTGTGAAGGGATTAAGTTGTACTAATGGAACTATAGTAAGTACATGAGTTGCATTAACAAGACACGTAAATATCCTAGAAACTAAGTCACACACGAACTTGATAAATTTGAGTTATAAAGTTGTAGTAGTACAAGAAATTCACTCACTAGGAGTATTTGGATGGTTCATTGTGTCCTCTTCTTATCAACTCCCATTTTGATCCCGCCTTTGCAAGGAAAGTTGCTCCTTAGTGGTTCGCATCATGCTCCGCTTTTGTTGGAAGCGTGGGTTTTTGCAGGTCCCCAAGAAAGAGCAGGCACAACGCACTATTCCACTTGTGACCAGTTTGGTCGAATTCCAATGAAGATTCTTTATGATCCTGATTTATTTTGTGATTCATGTTGTTTGGTTGCCCTTTAACCCAGCATCGCCATTATCGTGGTAATCTAGATTACGCCAGACTCGTGCATTCTCGTTGCACACAAAAACATATGTAATGTGAATTATCATTAGAGGTGTTCATGGGATGAGACACCCTTGTCTCGTGTTCAATTCCAAAAAATAATTAAGATTAAATTTTTTTTTAGGTCTTGTTCCATTTCAAAAATTGTCATGTCTTATTAAAAATTGAGACGGTATTAGAATAAGATCGGGACATCCCAATAAGGTGGATAGCATATGAGGATGACTTAAATAACAATATTCATTAAAATATTAATGAATATTAATATTTTAATGGAGATATTTGATGACAACAACTAAAACAACACAAGTACATAAAACATCATGACAACAATTATAAGTGACCTTCAGCGTACAAGAGCAATATCAATCGGCAAGTTAGTCACAACATCAAATGATTGTTTTTCTTCTTTAGTTGAGATATTTGATGCTATTGACTCTTCTGAAAATAAAGCAAAGAATATGATATCAATAAAAATTATTAGATAGATAGATATAAAAATAAATTATATTAATATAATAATATATTGAAAAAGAAGATATTATCTTGTATTGCTTGCTCTGTGTTATTAAAAAAATTATTAGTATCAAGAAATTTTAGTTTTGAATAGGGATTGCAAATATTAAAATTATAATTAATATAATTAATATATTTAATGCATATTTTTAAAAGAAAAATAATATATATATATATATATATATAATATTTGAATAGGAAGGGATGTTCCAAGAACAATCCCATATTCTATCTTGTCTCAAAACTTTCTATGTAAAGTCTATATTTTTTTTATGGGTACAAGATTGAACACCTCTAACTATCATTGCCCAGAATCCACCTTTAGACATATTTACCCTTGACCCACATCACTTGTATCTTTTATCATTGATATCCTCAATATCCTCCTCCACCTTCAATGTGCCTCACTAATGATGCCTTTCCTCCTCTACCCATATCTTACAATTACACAAAATTAAACAAGGCGAAGAGGCTTAATAATAGGAATAATGAAATTTTTAAGCCTTCGGAGCTTTTTCCCTATCTGCACCTAAGCTATAACCTGTAAAACATTAATAAAGAAGGATAAGTACAACAACTCAGTAACCAAGATAAGTTTATCTTATGTAATTTCATATCAATTCACTTTAAATGTATTACGTATGAAACATTAGCACATACCATAAAAAACACACTTATTTCATACTACATACTTACAAGTTTATCATATAGCTTATAGTCACCTTATAGGGCTCATTATTACAATATAAACAACCATGTGACAATGACAATTCATTGGTCATGACTTGCCACAATTTTAACAACCACGTAACACATCGGATAATATGTATCATTGGACCATCTTTATAACTCCCTTGTATCTTTCAATTAAAATAGTGATCTAGAATACTAAAAGGGGTTTGTTTATGTGAATGAACTATTCAAGCTCACTAATCATGAGGAATAACTCGGCCAAAGATTACTACAATTGCAAGATTGCCCTTACTAAGCCATAATCATCTCCAAAATCTAAGGTAATCATGGAAATAATCTAATAGGACTACCAAATTTGTAAAATTAACATATAAGGGATTCTAAGTTTTCAAAAGCTTAAAACACTACAATATATTTCTGTAAATCGAGAATAAGAGTAAAACAACTTTATGAAAGCATGCGAATCCAAATTATATAAAACCATATTTGGCTTGAAAACATGCATAAAACATAGGGATGTGTCGCAGCTTGCTGCAGACGTGCCATGATTCATATGCCTTTATGCCATATGTTACAACGTATTGCATAAAATTTGATAGCAAACTTGCTTTCATAAGACAGCACCTAAGGAAAACTTTAAATGTATCTTGATTCTCCATCTAACATTCGATTAAGATGATTTAGGTATTCATAAAAAACTTTATCTGAGCTCTAACTAATAACACTAGTTTCACATTCAAATTATTTTTCAATTAAAAGTTAGACACCATTTTCAAACTGACTCTTTAATAACAAAATGACACAACTTAGGTGTCCAATAATCAATTCAAGTGCTAAAAGCTCTTACAACCTATATATCACACTTAATAGATCATACAAAACTTATGCAATACACCATGACGATCAAATAACACATGTCTCATATTTTTGATGCTTAACGCCATCATCACAAAAACATGTGGGGGAGCTAAATTCGTATAAAATATCATAGAATTCATAATACCCATACAACTACACATCTCCCTACTTACACTAGTATTTTAGTCCTATATAAACCATACAACCATAATATATGCAACCCGGGGCACAAAATATACATTCAATTCAATTTCTTATTTAGTGCAAGTAGTCAAAAATCATATGAAGCTTTGGAAAATTCTTAACAAAAATACACATAAATAAAACTACGAGGGCTACTAGTAGGATTTCAATAGAATCCTATGCCTCTGGTTGTTTTTTATATCTTGATCCGATGAGCTAATGCTTGTAATATTAAAGAAAGAAAGATGAGTACAATCACTTAGTAACCAAGATTAATCTAGCTTATACAAATACATATCAATCGATTATAAAGATGTAAATGGCAATTATACTACATTCACAAGTATATTTACTTTTCAAAAGAGTTACCACGACCATAATATTATTAACCATGTGGTTAGGCACAAGCATATATTGATTAATATCAATGAATAGCATCAACATACATATGGGGTTATAAAACTAACAGCCATGTGCCCATATCAAATTATGTCCGATCACAATAATGAAAGCCATTCAGCCGAGATATGATATGTATGATTAATGCCATTCTTTTACCTTCTTGACGCCTTCAACATAAAATCGGTGGCTATTTAGTGGCTACATCTATGAACTCAAACTAACCAAGCCTTTTACTTGTGAGGAACTACTTAGCCAAGGCTACTACACTCACTTATGAGCCATATTTCTTCCAATACTAACAATCATGAGGTGTTGTACCCTAAACATTGCATCAATAGTTTAAAATATAACTTATGATTCAAATCAACCATTACAAAAAAAATAAACAATTAATATTCAACTATATAAGCTAGGTTTCTCCTAATTACCTCAAACATTTGAGAGGTTAAATATTTACCCCTCATAACAAACACTTTCAAAGCTTCTCACAAGCTTGAGTAGTGCCAATGTGAATTCCACTAAATCACAACACAAGGATATCATCATTATTCCATTTTTGTGAGTTTACCACATTAATTTTCACTTCTTCTATTCTATTAATCCCATAATTTCACCACCCATTCATATTCAATGGGTTCACTAGGTTTTATTGCTCACATTACTACCATTGAGTCTTTAAACCACCATTAATTGAGTCTTTTTGACTCAAACATAACTAGTCTTCACCAATTTATGTGGATGCTAGATTAACGGTACAGCATCCTATGGTTGTTAGTATTGAGAAAAACCAGATTACATAAGTGAGTGAGTTAACCCTAGCTCGGTAGCTTCTTATAAGTGAAAGGCTGGGTTAGTCTGTGAAGGACATAGCCATATGATAGCTATGAGTTTTATGTTGGAGGTAACAAGAGGGTATAAGATTGACACATGATCATGCATATAAATTCGGCCACATGATTGTTAGTATTGTGGTCCGAGATGTATTAGGGGTGCATTGTTAGTATTATTGCAACCTCGTGTTGTGCATTATAAATTAATATGATTATATGTATTTTTAGGCTTGGCCATATAGTTGTTAGTATTATGAGCCATAGCCATGCTTACCTTATATGCTATATATTTGTTGTATTTCCTTATTTATATTTGTTTACAATTTATATATAACTATATAGATTAGGTAAAACTTAGTTATTGAGCGTTTAAACTCACCCCTCAATTCTCAATATTTTTAGGGCCTAGCTCATTGAATCCGAATTAGATAAAACACACAGAGGCTTAGGATTTATAGAGTAATCCTTTTGT